TGGCCATGAAGAAAGAACAATTTTTGGGTTCATAGGATTATTTCTTCCTAACATGCTATTACACTGGATCAAAGGTGTATAGTTTGATTTCATACATAGACGGGACAGGAAAATGACAAATCTTTAAGGATATCAAATATTATGGATTCCCTTGTCTATTTTATTAGGGGAAATGATTTCAATTTTAATACCTAACTTTGAAATTATTGCATTACAAATGTTACTCCTTAAAAAAAAAAGTTTCATGATAAAGAAAAAAACTCTATGAATCATTAAAAGGATTTATAATTTTTGTTTTACGTTATTTTATCAAACATTAAATTTTTGAACTGAAAAGTCCACACATTCCATAAAAAAAAAAACCCCACATATTCCTTGTGAAGTTCATTGTTTACCTTTTATTTCAGAGAAAAAGAAAATGGAAGTTGCATTAACAATAGTAAAAAATAAAGGGAAAGAAACACTATAAACATCGATATGAAATTCATATATAAGAGAAACAATCGATAATGATTGCAAAACAATTAACTGAAGCAGCTACATTCAACTACAAAATATTAGAAAATGAAAAGAGAGGATATGATCATCGAGAAAATAATCAATATGCTAACCTAATCCCATTTTGTCGCAAAGGAAATTGTATTTTGTACTTCAAATTTAATCTGCAACAATCTTAATCTTTAACTATTTCTACATCATACGTGATTTCACAATCAAAATGACAACATCTAAAGCATCTAAAAAATGGTTCTACAAAGCTTCTTGAAAACTATTCAATCATAAAATATAACTTCCAACAAAAGAATTAATACTATAAACTATTTCTTGATCTCACGGGTCGATCAATCACAATCCACAAAGAGGACAGATAATTAACCCATTATCATTACCAGGAGGACATATTTGCTTCACTTCCCAGCAACAACATTACAATTTTCATCGCAAATCCATTGACGACTTCTGTTTTCTCAATTGGGATTATATGTTGTTCTGTCTAGCATTGCATTAAGAAAAAGTCTTAAAGTTTAATAAGTGGTTAAGACGGAACGAGAAGTAACAAGGCAATCAATCTAATATACAAAGAAGCACTCCATTATTTGAAATTAAAGAATTTATTTTTAATTTTGTCAAACTTTTATTTTAATCTCGAATTTATTTTCGAAATAACTTTTTTGCTCCGTCCATCAGAAGGTTTTAACATCTAGTGAATAAAATAAATATAAGAAAGTGAATCCAAAAATTTTGGAAAAAATCAAACAAATGGCTAGAGTTTTCCGAGTAGCTAGCCACAAAACTCTAGTAGGCTAGAGATCATAGGATTGGATTCCTCTCTCATGATAACAATAAAGAACTTGACATAAAATAACAATAGCAAAAACTAAGCGAATATACTCCATTTGTCCCAAAATTTTTGTCCAGTTTTAATTTTTAATTTTAGTTCAATTTATACTAAAAATAAAAATTTAAACTAAACAATAGTTTAACGACAGAGGGAGTATATTACATATCCACACAGCACATGGCATAACAAGAATGTGGTGAATTCACATGAAGTTGCGACCCTTGAGAAGGAAATATGTTACGAGTGCGACATGCTTCAGCTTGCCATAGAGATCGGAAAAAATCCGAGCTTTGATACTTCCTCTAACCGGAGGGAAAGCCGGCGATGAAGTTCGAGAAATCGCGTTTGAACCCGCCATAGCCACCTTCATGATTTGCTTGTTCTCCATTGCTGAAAAGCTTCTAGCTTGAAAGAAAGTATTTTGTGTGTGTGCAATGATGATAAGGAGGGAAAACAGAAAAGATTTGTATATATTGCATGCATGTAAAAACAGTAGGAAAATAAAGTCATTTTGAGGAAGCATGGTAGGAAACTTCGTGAGTTGCACAAGTACTTTTGCCCTCTTCAGTTTTAGCCATTTAAGTAGTATATTTTGTTTTTGTCTTCCTTCGATCTAAATAACACATCACCCATCTTCTTGTTTTCTATCCTTTTCTGTTAATTAGATTTTTGACATATTTCCATTAATCTTGCAGTACATTTATACACCAGATCCAGATATGAAACATACTCCCTCCCTCCCACAAAAATAGTCTACATTGAGTTTTGAGTTTTTTACTGTTTTTAGTACAAATTTGAAAACTCAATGTGGACTATTTTTTGGGACAGAGGTAGTATTAAAAATTAAATTAGAAATGAATTCGTCAATTTCACTCATGCACGTTTGATGAAGTTAACTTTAGTTAACTATTTGCCTGTCAGACAGTTGAACTCGAACACATCATCCAAAAAGTGTTTTGAGGATTTTGCGAGGGAAAAATTGGCCGATCTACCCAAAGGTTGACAGGCGTTGTCAATTTCACCTTATTCTTTTTCAGTTAATCAATATTACCCTAAGCTATCCAACCATTAGCCGATTTTGTCCAATTTGTCAATTTCCGTTTAAATTAACGGAATTCTGTTAGTTTTAATTATAAAAAATACCTTAATAGTTTTGAAAATTATAAAAATGACCCCAAAAATTTGTAAAAATAACCAAACAATCTTTTTTCACTTTTTATTTAATTTTTTCTGTTTTCTATTTCTTCTCACTATTTCTCATAACTATAAAAATATATTATATATTCCTTAAAAAAAAGCTATGTATTTTTAAAACACTATTGTGCAAATTTATAGATATGCATATTCATAACTCATGGTTGATCTACATAAACATATTAATTTTTTAATAATATGGTATAACAGTAATGATATTATTTTTTTAATCTATTTTTTTCAATCTAAAAAATAAGATTATTTAACTAAACCTAATTTTGCACAAAAAATAAAATATTTAGCATAGATTAAATTTTTTTATTGGTATACTTTAATGTATTATTACAATATAATTCAACATAATTTAGATTGTATTGTAAAATTAAAAAAATAATTAAACGAAAATATACATTTTCTTTAAAAGGCCAAGTACAAACAGAAAGTAAAAAAAGATGTTACAAAATATTTTATAAAAAATATGTATATTTGTCATTACGAGAGTTTAACATTTCGTGATAATTTTTTTGAGATATTAACATCTAACTTTCGCAGGAAATTTTTTTTAATAATAATAAAAAAATCTGCTCCAGTACTGGACTCCTCCTTTAAAAAAGAAAAAGATCGCCCCAGTGAGAATTGAGGCCTCGAACACAGTAATAATCATCTCCCATCTTAAATCACCTGACCATCCAACTCAACCCTCTCACCTTGAGTAAACCATGCTTTATGCTTGTGGATAAAATCACTCTGCCGGTTAAAAATCCTTAGTGAGAATTAATCTTATATCTACTATCATAAAGCTCAATACCCTAAACACTAGATTGTACACTATATTTTAGTTTAGTAATTTTTTGAATTGGATATTACAATCTATAGTTTGTTTATTCAATTTGTAATAAATTAAAATGTACTAATACATTAATTTTTAATCTATGCTAAATGTTTTACTTTTTTGTAAAAAAAATTAGTTTTTAGTCAAAAAATATTATTCTTTAAATTGAAAAAAGGATTTAAAAAACTAATATCATTATTGTCAAGTTATATTATTAAAAAATTAATATGTTTAAGTAAATCAAACATGAGTTACAAATATACATATCTATAAATTTGCACAGTAGTGTTTAAAAATAAATAATTTTTTTAAAAGATTATATAATATATTTTTATAGTTGTGAGAAATAATAAAAATAAATAGAAAATAGAAAAAATTAAATAAAAAGTGTAAAAAGAGGTTATTTTTACAAATTTTTAGGGTCTTTTTTATAATTTTCAAAACTATTAGGATATTTTTTGTAATTAAAACTAACAGAATTCCGTTAATTTAAATGGAAATTGGCCAATTGGACAAAATCGGCTAACGGTTGGATAGCTTAGGGTAATATTGGTTAATCGAAAAAAAAATAGAGTAGAATTGACAACGCATGTCAACCTTTAGATAGATCGGCCAATTTTTCCATTTTGCGAGTAAACACTTTGATTATAGTAAGAAAGAATCTGGCAGAAAGTACATGTACACAGCTCTCAAAACATTAGATTTAGGATAGCTAGTTTTTTTATATAGTGATTTCAACTAGCTAGTTTTTGAGATATTGGTTGTGCAAAGTTGAAAGACAGACGTTAATAGCTGAACTGTAGTAACAATGAACGGATCATGGTGATTCAGTAGGTGCTAATATTAACTTAGATTTAATGGAGTTTAAGTATGATTATTCCCCAAAATGAAGATACTTTGTTGGGAGGGGAGGGAAGAATGTATTCCATCTCTCACGATATTGTATAATTTTTAATTTTTAATTTTATAGTACAAATTATACTAAAAATAAAAAATCCTTCCCTCCGTTTAATACAATTTTATAGACTATTATTGTTGCATGGAGTGAATAACTCAAAAACAAAAAATAAATAAATAAATAAAACAAAAACAAAAAACAAAAACAAAAGAGAAAAAGAAAAGAAAAAGGCACTCAGATAATTAAGGAGCTTTAATTTAATTTATCATTTTATTCTTTTTCTCTTGTATTGCATTTAATTTATCCTTTGGCCGAGTTGTGAGACCTTAATTAATTCTTTAAAATTGACCTTATTCAAATCATACTTTTACCTTTAGTGGACTAACTACTTGCTTAGCCTAAAGATTCCCAACTCAGGCTGAAGGTTTGGTATTAGTTTGCTATCCATAGGGGTAGATTTTGCTTCATCACATCCCAAAACTGAAAGTTCATTTCATTGGCCAAAATGCAGGCTGCATATATGATCATCTATTGTCAATGATTTTCAGAAAGTGATATCTTTCAATTCTCTCAATACTTCAAGAATTGTCAGTCAAGAATTCATTTGCATATAAACCTCATACATATACAAAAGAATCAAATGAAACTTGAAGCAATTCTTGTCCCCTTGCCACATATTTTGAAGGGTTGGTTATCAGAGAAACATGAAAAGTCCAGCCTTGAATCTACATGGCCTAAAGAAGAAAAGCAACTAGTGCTTGGAATATTGATTTCGGACTTCCCCAAGGTCTTTGTGTTTCTTGACTTCCCTTCTGCAATGTACCATGTCTTTGATCTTCTTTTCTACCCTGAAAGTCACGAAATGCAGAATGAATTCCGATGTCTTTTTTTTATTTTTTTTTTTTGGCGCATCATCAGCTAGCAAAAGACACAGTTGATGTGTGTATATGTATGTAGTTTGCTGTAAGGTTTTTGAGTTACAAACTCTTAAAGATCTGAACATACTCTAACTATATATTGACCACTACTTTCATAGCACCATTTGAATTCTTCTGCTGTATCATTTATACCTGATACGATTCATCTTGGATTCAGGTCTAGGCATCTGTCAAATGTGGGATTGGTGAAATTACCTGTATAGCTTCCCTGAGCGGCCCCCAACATTCGAGGCGATTGTACTTCTTTGAGCTAGAGTGGAAGTATACCCGAACAATGGCATCCATAAGTTCTTGGTTCTCTTTGAAAAGGTCTGAATCTCCATGTAGCACAGCCTCAAGTACCTGATTGGTTATTAGAAGTACATTAGCTTTTAGTACAATAAATTCGGAAATGCTCGTGTATATGAAAAGCGTAGCAGCTTTAATGTCAATCCCTATAACGAAAATCTGTGTAATCAACCAGAAAGGAATTCGGAAATTTTGAGAATGAGGGAACTCACCAGAGGCAATTCCTTGGAGAAAATGTGGTATCTAAACTCTGCTGCTAACTCTGGCAGGAAATTCGGTCCACTTACATAACAGTGAACATCTAGGAACAGATTCCCCTTATATTCTGTCCACTCAGCAACTACATCATCCTTATTATACCACCCACTCAGCTGTCCCATTGATACAAACTAAATGTCAACTTTAGTTGAAAAATCTACCAATAAGCTATAGGAACAAAGCTACTGGCTAATTGGCTATGATGTAGTACTTTGTATCAACGAAGGATGGTAGTTGATGAGTTCGAAAGAAAATAAAGAGGGTTATGTCTCAAGAATATAAGAAAAAAAGCACATGTTCGTGTTAGTAAAGGGATGAGTACCTGATCAAGATGGATCACATTTGAGATGGTTAATGTCAAGTTAGCAGTAAAGTCACAATGGGAAAGGGTGTATGTCCTGGGCAAAATTCTGGTGCTGAAGAAACTATCTGTATCTTTTCCTGAGAATACAACCTTCAGTTTTGATGCTTCAAATCTTGCTGGAGGACCTAACAGCCTTACAGCCTTGATCACAAAATTAAAGCAAGGTTCACAAAACTCACAACAAAAAGCAGCAGAGCATAAATTAGAAAAACAAATGACTGATGAGATGGCAATGACATCTAGTTTCCCAAAATTTCCCAAATCCCTTACTCATATTTCTCTTACTTTATTGCACAGAACTGATCAGGAAATCTCACTGCTTCCTACAGGGTGCAGAGTAATTGAAATACTAGTCCTTAACTACTAAAAAAGTGTCCCCTTCAAGGGGAAGTATATTTTGAATTTTTATGCATTAATCAAGAACCAATTTTTCTATCTAATTACATCCACAATAATAAGCATACTATTCCCTGAAAAACAATATCAAACCAGAAAACTAATAGCATTAATGCTCAAGCAGAAGCCAAATTTTTTTCACAGCAACAGAAATATATTCCGAACTAATTGCAACATTAGCCAATCATATCCTTCGTTACTAACTCAATTCCAGGTCACTCCAGATCCTAAATTTTCAACAGGAATGCATAATTTTACAAAACACAAAAAGGGTCTCCTAAAAACTAATCAAAAAAAAAAAAAACAGAACAGGTACCCACATTGATGAAAATGTACCCAAATTTACCTGAAAGACAAGAGTGTTGTAAGGGGGCCTTCTGTCACTAAAGGAAGAAAGCAGAACAGAAGGTGTTTGAGGCTTAAATTTGCAGTTTTTAATGTTAATACTGGAGCAGTATTCCCTGTGAGGAGGAGAAGAAGAAAATGTGGAATGAGCAAAGTGACTGGAGGCCATGGACTGCATAATAAACTCATCCTCTTCTCCACATAACCCTTCTTTTTTTTCAATGCACCATTTTCCTTAACCAGTTCATCTGCTTCTGCCTCTGTGGAAGATGAAAGCTCTTTGGCTTTTGGTTGGCTGCGTGTCAATTTGTGTGACAGACAGAGACTCACAGTTGTGAATGGCTGTGTGGTGTGTGTGTGGTGGAACGAAGGAGAATGACTTGGAATTTTGAATGTTTTTGAGGGTTATGTGGGCCCACAAAATCTATATCAAACCAATCACATCTCTTGGTTCTTGTCAAGCTTGTCCAACAGGACCAACACCAGTCACCCTTTCATTTAAAAACTTGTTAAAAAAAAATTAATTAAAGTGAAAAGACATATTTTATTGTATTAATTTAATTCAAAAAACATTTTTTATGTGAGAGGAATCGATATAAATGAAAAACACACAGTTTTGTGGTTGATTTTATTATGATGTTCAAAATTGTACTCCCTCCGTCCTATAATTATTGTCCAATTTGAATTTTCCTTTTTAATTTAAATTATACTAAAAGTGAAATTTCAAACTGAACAATAATTGAGACAGAAGGAGTACAAAATTAAGCATGGTTGTTGATTTCTTCCAACGAAATCAGAAATTCATTGAAACATTCGTGTAATTACCAACACCGAAAGGGATTATTGGTGATTCCTATGAGTAAACAACAGAAAAATATTAGCAATCCACAGACGGGGAGATCAAAAAAACAAGAACGTTGGGCTGGGCGTCGAAAGAGAAAAATAAGGGCATTGAATAAGCACAACCAAATATTGGTCCTTGTTTATTACTAAAATTATGTTGAATGATGTCAAAAGCCAATAAGCTAAACATGACTAAAATCTGTAACTTCTGTACCACCTGCACCACCACAATAAAATAGTCCATATACCACTAGCCGACCGACAATCAATATGATCTGTTGTTAGGTTTCGAAGATGATGAAGACTTGGATTTGGCAAAATCCAACAGATCTTTGAAAAGGGCATCTTCCTGCTTTTCCTGTTTGGTTGGGGTTGATGATGATGATCTCAGGGAAAGGTTCTCCGTCTGCCCAACCAAGCCGTCATAGGAGGAGCCAGAACTACCTGTATGCTGTTTTTGCTCAAAAAACTGCTGTCTTTGGTTGTACCTTGATGGAGGGGGAGGAATGCTGGTGGGAGGAGCATCCCACGGTGCAGCAGGCAAGCTGTCAGCAGACTTGGAGGAAGGAGTAGGCTCATTATTCGTTGGGTCAGAGGCAAACATAGCTGCTGTCGGGTTGATGAACTCATCGGGAGGGGATGAAGAGGATTGTGGAGGACTTGGCGGCGCGACTGAGTTTTTGTTGTTTGAATGAGTCGGGACAGCGACAGGTATAGATCTTGATGTTGCTGAAGGTTTTTCAGACTGGTAAATGTCACCACTAAGATAATCCATCATCGATGTTTCTGTAGAAGAAGATCTCGCTGATGGAGGTGGAGGAAGGATAGGGCTAATTCGAACTGGCTCAGCAGCAGAGCTTGCTGTCTTCCGTCCTTGTCCTTGTGAAGTATCCCTTGATCTGTTAAATTGCAATTTAGTGAGATGATCCATACTTTAAAACAGGACTGCAAATGATGCAAGATGAGTACAATGACATCCACGACAAGCAAGAAAAAAGAAACAAAGAGCTAGACATCTTGACATGGATAAAAAGTGTGAACAATTCCGATCAACCAAAAAGCCAAAGATGAGGACAGAAATCATTCAAGGCAAAACAAAATATAACAGTAGGCGAACTCATTTGAACTTCTCTTGTAAGTTCCCTGTCAAGGATCTAAAGACTACAGCAGGATGAGTAAGTAAAATGTAAATTATCATTTGTACACTTGAATTGCTAGAATCACTGTTACAACAAGTATCCAATAGTAGATTTGTCTATACCCATTCAATTTTTTCCCCATAGCGAAGTTAAGTTGGATCAGAAACTTCCCAGCATAGATGTATAGCGAAGTCAAGTTGGATCAGAAACTTCCCAGCATAGATGTAGCAAGTTCAATCGATTCGGTTCAGGTTCTTACAACCAATCAATGTGTGGGGGGAAAAAATAAAAAGCTAACAAAACACTAACCTGCGTGATAATTGAACAAAATCATCTTCGGACTCTTCATCCTCGTGATTTACATTCATAAGAGGTGCAACTGAATCTGTAGTCCTGGTTGCAACATTTGGTGTACCTTTTGCTATGTCATCATGTCGACCAAGAACTTGCTGCAATCTATCATTCAGCGTCAATCCTCTCAACAAGAGTTCCTCATCCCTGATTACAGACCGAAAATCTTCCAATCAAAAACAGATAGACATAGGCACATAACTTGTGGAAAAGGTGAAGAAAAGGGTAAAAAAACCTATATACTCACGCAGTGTTGTTAACAAGAACCATGACACGCTTTTGGTACGAACGACACTGCTCTACAAGGTCAACAATGACTTCATCCTTTATACCCTGCATCAAGTCCACTTAATATGTTAAAACTATCAACATGCATAGAAGAAAACGGACTCAAATGGAATATATCAGGTTAAGAAACTCATACTTCAGAAAATGTAATCTGGCAAAATCATAATTGGATGACTCTTACTTCGAGAAAATATAATTTACATTCAACCTTCCCAAATTTGGTTTTCCCAAATTCCGTCAGAAAATATAGATAAATCAAATAGTACTCCACAAGCCACCTAAGTTTGAATATAAATAGATATTGAATAGCGTACCCTTTCAAATAATTTTTCCCGTATGCTCACACAATTGTGTATTGTAAAGGAAGCAGTCATACTCCGAGTTCATGTTCATGCTCAATTCTTTCAGCTAGTGGAGTTAAACTACTTTGAAACCATTTTTTCAAACCATCCTCTGGAAGACAAGTACATGGTTATATTCCCAATGACCTATAATAAAATAACCGTCTTAAGTTGTTTTCTCTAATATCTACAGGAATGAACACCACTGGCTACCAAATGGGTAAACTGGTACAAACTGAAGACAGAAAGGAAGAATAAACAACAAATTCCACAATGGACGAACTACCAGCCCAATGATGATGAACACACCCTCCAAGAGGGTGAAATATGAACCATTAACCCAACTTAGGAGAAGATGGGGCAATTAGAATAGATATATTTAACCTGACGGTTTTGAGGCTCCAAAGCACCTAACATTTCCATCAACACGTCTGATAGTCCTTCAGCATTCTGAATCTCTGGCAAACTGCATAAGGTATGAACCAAATCAATCAGAGAATCTAGAAATTCATCCACAAGGGATGCACATGCACACACTGGATGCATGCACAAACACATAAACATTACAAAGCATATATCTTGGATATCATGCACATCCGGAATCAAAGGAATACCTAAGCCCAGAAGGATCAGACTGAAGAGAGGCCTGCACGGCCGCTTCCTCGTATTCCAAAGCAGGCTGCACAATCGGATGTGTTTGTGGTGGAGTAAATAGCGGCACACTGTTTTCTTCTCTTGGGGGAAATTCCACTCCAGCAGACTAACATGAGAATAAGAAAAAGAAAAGGGAAAGTCAAAGCAACACCAAACAAAGGCATCATAACATGTGACAATTTCGGTCCATCTCCATTTACACTCAGTACATCCCACACAGCGCACAAATTCATATTAATAGGATAAAACACACCAAGAAAACTTCTTCAACAGTTAGCAGATTTAGTACATTGCATCTCAACTTACTTTAGATTTTAATGATTAGCTTATGAAATTATGAATTTCAAATTCATAATTATCGATGTGAACCAAATGGAAAACACTACAGCCTAACCAAAAAGAAGCTTGCAAAATGTTAAGATTAATAAAAACCCATAAAAGAAAAACAAGCCAAACAACACATGACATCCCCCTGATTATGTGTAGATACTAATGAAGGAGATAAGGTAGTCATGTTAAGTTCAAGTCATTACACTCTATATGTGTTTGCTTAGAGATGCTGAAGGCACAGAAGCCCCCATTCAAAACGTATGCTAAACCCAAATCATGTTAAAACTTTTCTGCATCTGACTTTTTGATGAAACAAACACCTTGAAATAGAAACGTATATTGCTTTGTCCTAGCAATGGTTACCATACCCAGTCGAGCATTATTAGGTAACTACAACTGCAATGTCTGAATGCAATGAAGACCAGGAATTCCCTTCATTATATTACTACCAATTAGTTATGTCTGGAAAGTATATAGAAAAATGTTGTTTCACTAATCCTTCACAAAATTGATATCGATTAACAAACTAGATATACCGATAATCTCATACTGAATAATCACCATGCTTTTGGGCTTTCCACTATACAGAACAACATACTAACATCACAAAAGTGACATGCTTGCAACTACAAACAAAACCAAACTTAAAAACAAACTTCTAACTCGTAAACAGAAGATTTAAATGTACCTTCAACTCGTTATAGGCAGCATAGAACTGGGGAAATCTTCCCCTCGGTCCCCCTAAACCTTCTTGCCATGTATCAAGCAGAATTAGAATTTTCTCTCTTACACTCAAATCAGGCTGCAGATTCAAAAGCAACAAAAGAAACGGAGAGGAGAAGTTACAACAAGTAGGAATGCCTTTCAAAATGTGCAAGAAACAAGTCAGATAGGCTAAGAGAGCTGTTACCTTCTTTTTAACAATTTTAACCATGTCATGTAAGATATCCCGCTCAGCAATCTGCTGAAACAAACTCTCCCCACAGTTCTTGGTAAGAGTCTCCAGCACCTAAGTCAAGAGCATGAAATCAGAATACAGCAAGCAGCCAAGAGTCAAAAGGTAGTGATTACAGTTTCCAAATAAATTTTCTGAAACAACACAATTGATAGTAGCAAGGCAATTATTCTGGAATAACAAATATGATATTCTCAATTTGCAATTTGGCACATTGTTGAAAGTAGTTCCCCACAAGAGAATGGTGATAGTTTAAAGTGTAAGTCATAAGACACGTGCTTTAAGATAATCCCATATGTACATGCAACTAAAATTATTTCACAGAAAGTATTTTTATCCCGAAACTAAGCATATAAGATTCTATCCGGACTTCTGATCAGCATAACAAGACAAAACTAGTAATAATAGACCATGTTGGGAAATTAGCCACATAAGAACCATGATTTAAACACGTGTAACATAACTGTTGTAATGCGGGTGAACCCTCATAGACATCAGGTGCGCAGGTAAAAGACAAAAGACTTATGGAAAGATATCCAGAGTTTCGCAGAAGGAAGATATAAAGCACACAAGAAGCATTAATTACAAGCTTTTAGCTAATCTATAAATCTTTGAAACATGTAGAGTATGTGAAACCGCGATACTTTTAGAATTAGTTGCCAGAACAATGACCCAGACAGTTATTTCATTATACACTTCTGATCAGCATAACAAGACAAAACTAGTAATAATTAGACCTTGTTGAGAAATTAGCCACATAAGAACCATGGGTTCAAACACGTGTAACATAACAGTTTTAATGCGGGTGAACCCTCATAAACAGCAGGTGCTCAGGTAAGAGTTATGGAATATCAAGGCACACAAGAATATCAAGACTTTGGCAGAAGGAAGAGACAAGGCACACAAGAAGCATTAGTTACAAGCTTTTAGCTAATCTATAAATCTTTGAAACATGTAGAGTATGTGAAACCGCGATACTTCCAGAATTAGTTGCAAGATCAATGACCCCAGACATTTATTTCATTAAAACGGGACAAGTTCAGATAGAACATTTGAAATTAACCCTAAAAAGATAGTCAAACAGAGGCAAAACAAATAGAATACTTACAAAAAGTGAAAGGAGCTGTGTTTTAGGATTTTTGTTGCCCAAACGTTTCTTCAGTATCTTCAGAGCATCCTTAGCTTGCCTGAAGTCAACTTAAAAAGTAAACCTCAAAAAGCACTAGAGTGGACGCCATTAAAAAAAACATATTGTTGGCTCCAAAGAGAATGTCAATTTGGAAGTAACCGCATGTAAACAGCAATTATCTTTCCAAGAACCAAACAAAAGAACACTCTACAATTTCATTTATCCAAAATTCCACAAGAAAATCATGCCAAATTTTAATAAACATGTCCACGAATTTAACTGAACGATGTCACAAATATTAGCTATACTCTTGCAGGAACAAACCACACTTTAACATCTTAATCATTGTCCAAAATCATATACAGGGTAAGGTTCTGGCATTTTCAATGTCCCATCAAATAAAATACAAAATAAATGAGGGTCAGATGTTACCATCTCTGAGATCCCAAATCAAACAAGCCTAAATAGAGAGCACAGGCAAATAACAGTGAGATCATCAGAAAAAGAAGTGTGAAAAGTTACCCAGGATCCATGTTGATAATATCACATAGCTCAATATTAATTGCCCAGTCTGGACCAATCAACATGTCACTCGTTGCTCTTTCAGCACAAGCTGCAGCATTATTAGCCATGTTTCTCGATCTTTGTTCAAGCCCACACGCAACTCTTATTTCCCTAATAGTACAATCAGGTCAGCAAGTCTACTTAATTAAGAAATGCGAATGTACAAAAACATATAAAAAAATCTGTGAAAGCAAATGACAACAGCGGCAATGAAGCACGAGTACAAAACTATAGAAGAGAAATGAAAATTCACGAGGGAACAAAAACTGAAGAAATCATCCAGAATCCCAACTCAAAAAAAACCCGGGAAACTGAAAACCATAACCAAGTCAACAAAACCCTCATCCAAGAGATCATCCAAATTCCAGCTTTATTCTGATATACCAAACCAAAAACCCTCAACCAAGTCAACAAAACCCAGAAAACCAATCACTGAAAAACAAAGAAGCCGCAAACTCATAAAACATTAAACCCCTATTAACCAAATTCACACTTCCATTTGGAACATAATAACATTACAACAAACACGACCAAACTCCCTATAGGAAGAAACGAAAAATCAACTCAAGAAAAATGTATCCTAGCTAAAGTAATCGCATGAAGGCGTGATCAAAGCTTAATATAGACTCTACAATTAATAACCGATCAAGAATTTAAGGTAACGGTTTACGAATTAAACCTCAATTGGCGAAGGCGAACCAAGACCCAATAAGAAGCAAAGCGTCAAAGTCCAAACACACACACGACAAAAATAAAGCAATCCCAAACAAGAAAATCCTGAAGATCATGCCTTGCTGCACAAAACCCAGTTCAACACAGATTCGAATTTCGAAGAATCAGCAGAGATTTAGAAATTCCCACCAAGAAAAAGTCAGAAATTACCTGTCGTAATACCTGCTCTGTAGTCTTCTTCTGATGATGACGACGAAAAGAAAACCCCAATAATATAAGGAAATCCCTCTCGCTCTCAGTCAGACTACTTTTCTTTAGCGCGTCACTACGACTTTTTTTCTTTTTCTTTTTCCCCCAACAAAACCAAAATTGTTGTTTTCTTCTAGTATCTTTTTTTAATACAATTTTGTAGGAGTTAATGATAATGAATAGATCTTTAAAGGAGTTGAATTTAAGGATACTTGAGTGTTAAGGTAAAAGCTTTTTCCTTTTCCTTTTTTCTTATTTCTTTTCTGAACTCTTTATTCAAGGTCGTATGTATGTACGTACGTAAGACGTTATAAACCATCATTGTATCTACAAAAAGAAAAAAAAAATCAAGCTTCTTTATTGAAAATATACTAAGTGTTAGACCCGTCCGATGGACGGGTAACACATATACATAGACATTATTACACAAACAAATCAAAAAAGTTAATATTTATATAGATTTTTGTATTTTTTTAAAGTATATAATCAATTTATTAAAAACTATAAAACACAAACATCGACAACACTTTACCAAACGAATACACTGGTAATTTATTTAACGCAAAAAATATTGTTAAGAAATTAAAAAAAAATAAACTGTGAATGAAATAATTATATATCTTGCAATATTTTTTGGTAGACTACATTGGTAGTCTGGGGTGGAAAAGTCGGCTAAGGTGGTTAAGAAATTATGATAAGGAATTTTTTTTTTTTTTGGAAAAGGTTTATGATAAGGAATGGTTACTACAGAAACAAAAACCCTAACTTGTTGTAGAGGCCATCCAATTTTTTTATAAGAAAAATTTTAAAAAATAAAAAAAGTTGAATATCAAGACCTTTATTCCTTGTTTTGGAGTGACTTTTGATTTCAGTGGTTTTATTTTATTAGTTTCTTTTTTAAATATGATGCATTCTCACTTTCCTTCATTTTTTATTTTTTAGCCTCATTTGTTCGTTTGATTTAGTTATTTCTCATTACCTATTTAATAATTTATTTTTAATTAACTTACCCGTTGTTAGAAATATTTTATTTAAAATGTAAGGGTGGGACTATTTTTTTTACCCTTAAAGAATATCATTTACCTATTTTTTCTTTATTAATATCTTTCTAGACACTTTCGCAAATGTCAAATCCATCCTGCTCTTTTTTTTTTTTGAATTAAAGTTAGATTTTTTAAGAAAACAATTTTAAAATTTGGTTCAAAAAATCATAAATTTGCCACATAAGATTTAGTCATATGTGGCATGATACGATACCTTAGATTTTCTAGCTCTGGAGTTTGCTTTACTATAATATATATATATATATATAGATTTCTTTTCAGGAAAAAAAGGAACCAAAAATTAAGAGCCCAATATTTAGCCGCATAGACCCCTTAATATTTGTTGAAAACACGAAATATTTAGCAGTCACTCACGATTAGACAAATAAATTTATCTTATAAAAAAGCACAAATATTTTTTTAGAAAACAGAAACTGGAATAAAAAAATCTAGTAGATAACCAATTCAACAGTCACTGTACCATTGTTGGAATGTAGTGTGCATCAAAAATCTATGCAAATTTTCAATGGAATGATGAGCACAACCTAAACTTGAAATTCATTACCAAGATTAGCGAAAACAGAGGTAATAATCAAACTATTCTAGATTTTAAAACAAACAGCACCGTTAGAATCATGATTTCATCAGCATTCGAGAAGAACCATTTTGTCAGTATTCAAAGCCGTTTCTTGATTCCGTTTCTGCATGACAAAACAAACAGCTTCTCAGTTATTTTGCTTTCTACCCATTTTGAGACCATTTTTGTGAGATCCCGAGTGTTGAGACCTCCTTACTTAGCGAGTAGTAGTTGATTCATGTATAAATTAGTATATTTATTTCTAATGTATGTACATTTTGCCATTTAGGTTCAAGAAAGATACATTAAAAATTTGGATTTCAAAACGTTAAAAAAGAAGGAGAAAGAATTGCCATAGTTGAAATCTTTTAATATTTTTATTCTTTGCCAGAGCCATTCTTAGCCCCGCTACATCAATCCATCACCATAGTATTTTAACTCAATTCCATATTTGAAACTAAATTATAGAAGTTTCAGGTTGGCCTAACTTCTTTAATTATTTTAATAAATTATTAATATAAAATTCTTTTTCAGTTGCGTTTTTTTTTTTTTAGGAGGAAGAGATCCGTCCATCGGATTTGCAGGGATTTGGTCGAATCAATATAGGGTTTGGATTTTTTCAGTTGCGTTTTTTTTTTGGGTTTTTATTGTTTTGTTTTGTGTATTTTTATATCTAAAAAATTAAGAATGCTCCTTAACTTTAGATTTCTCTCTCTTGTTTTTGACTTAGTATAGTATATAGAAAATATATTTCTCTTTGATATCTATAAATATATTATTTTTACTGGAGTTTCGAGATAAACCTCAGTACAGTATAACACTGGAGAGTGTTTCAAATTTTGGATACCGTATCTTAAACAAATAAATTTTTTCGTCTTGAAATAATTAAATAATTATTCAGTTTAGATTTTTACATTTTAATAAAAAATTGAACTAAAAATGAAAATCTAGCTTAAGACAGAGTAGTACGCATTTTTTTTCGTTATGATGAAGTATAATAATGTTGAGAACTAAAAAGTGATTTGAATTTCAATAGTGTTATACTGTATCTTCATATTTAAGTTTGTTCTAAAACATAATAATGTCTGCAAGTAACATTTACCATTTTGATGGAACATAATTAAATATTTTGGTTTCTTTTTCCAAAAGAAAACATTCGGGAGTGATCTTTCATTCATAGAATTAAGAAAAATAGAGCAGATATAATAAATACTAAAGATAAACTCGGCTATGTATAATTACTTTGATTTAGCACAAGATTAATCCCTATATAGTAAAAAATCTATAAATTAATAGTGTTGGGTTCATAAAAATTTATCAACTTAATTATAGAAATTATTATTTTTTGATAAAATTAATGTTTTATTTCATCAATAAATTAATATTTATTAATTTAAAGATTATTTCTTAATTCTATTAAAAAAAACAAATACTCAACTTCAATCCTACTTCTCTATATATTTATGATCCTATTAATTCTAATTACTTGTTGGAGGAAAAATTAAAGATAAAATTTTCTTGGATGTAAATGTCAAAAAAAAAAAAAAAACTCAATAGCCTCCTACTTTTGTAAACCTTCATAAATTTTTTGGGCATTTTATATTATTATTAATTTATGATTTAGGGGACCTGTATTCAATATAAGAAATTTCAGAACAATTGGTCATTAATTTATCGATTTTGTTTGATTTTTGTACTGGTTCCGAGTTGGGACCGAAATAATTTATTATTTAATAGAGATTATTAATTTATAAAATATTAATTTATAGAATTTTAAGTATATGTATATACCCTTGCTTCATTATATTGAAGAATGGAAATCAGAAATAAGTTATAAATACGCAAAAGGTGACGGATTCATCTAATCACAGATTACTTTATAGCGATTATGATCCATCCATCTTTTTTAAGAAAAAAAAATGCTTTACCTTTACATTCTCTAAAAGTACATTAAGACATATTTCAGCATTTCAATTATGTTGTAGGAGCGATCATATTCTCCGGAGAAGGCTTGAGGTTTAAGGCCGATCAGTGTCAATTTCAGCTCACAACAGCTCCTACAAATCCATCTCCAAGAAGTAATATTGGAAATGGTTGGAAGGGAAGAAGGAATAAATTCCAATTCGATGTACAATAAAGCCAAATATTATAATGGGACTGGGGACTAATGAAAAAACTATCTTTAACATTTTGCATGATAAAATTGAAAACAGAACATTAATAAAATTATTCCTTTCATCGTAGGAAAATATGTTACTTGCTAAAATCTCATAACGGATTTAAGCAAGCTTTCAATACAAACAGTGTTGTTACTCCTAAATTGTATTAATTTAATAAGTTATAATTTATAAGCAAATATTTGATATACCAAATTATTAATTTCAAAAAAATATTTTCATGGAGTGGATGATGTAAATTTGAAAATTGAAATTTTTAGTGCATCACTTTTTTATATATAAATTTCAAAAAAATAAAAATAAAACAAACATCACTACATTATATTGTACTAAATTTTTTTGGAACGCCCATGCTTACTACAATGGTATGTTGTACTAAAATTTTTTTGGTAATGCCAATAACCCCATCATAGATAGGTGTAAACTTACGCGCACTGTAATAGTTTGTAAATTACGATGAGAGGTAATCACCTCATATAAATTTGGGGTAATAAGGTTAGGTGCGAAATTGAAGAGTCCATATATGAGTTTGCTATAACAAGTCTTTTGGAGCTGTTACTAAGCAAGGATACAACTCATAATGTTAGAGTGGTGGCTTGAACTCATTATATTATCTTGAGAAAATGGTCATTTTACCACTGAATGACATTTCATTTGCCATATTTTAATAAATTTTAGTAGTTATTTTGTTTGTATTTCATAAAGTTATTAATTTATATAGAACCGATATTTTATATAAGATTTTTTCTGAACAATTATCTTCCCTTTCTATAATTGTATCAATTCAGAACCGAAAAAAATATTATTTATCACATATGACTAACTTATCAAAATTTAATTGTTTTGGCTCAATTGTAATTTTTTTTTTGGGAGACGAGCATTGATATGACTTGAGTTACAAATAAAAACAGTGGTTGATTTTTCAATGGGATTATTGACGACAAAGGTAGATCACAAAAGTTGTGTGCTTGTTTGGACAACGTTTTGTTTTAGTTTTTTATTTGGATTTGAGAGGAGATTTAAAAGGTAGTTTAGTTTTTTATTTAGAAATTATTATAGTATAGTGATCATTTATGAAATTAAAATAGTTCAGCGACCAAAATAAAGATTTTACAATAGTAACGACCAAACACAAGACTTTATAATAGTTTAGTGACCAAACGCAACACTTTACAATAGTTTAGTAACCAAACGTAATGAAAACTTTACAATAGTTCAGTGACCAAAACGAAGACTTTACAATAATGTAATGACCAAACACAACATTTTAAAAGGTAAATTAAAAAATTATTTGGATGATGATTTTTTTTCATTGGGTTTTGTGTTTAAGAGGTAAAACTAGATGCTTGGCTCAGGCAGATACCCGGGCGCCCCTCTATTTTAATTTTGTGTTAATAAATAAATGAATTCTTAATTTGAAAAAAATAAAATAGCTACACATTTGGTTTTTTCCTTTTCTTAGCCAAAAATAAAAATAAAAATAAAAAATCATCTACCAAAGGAAAAAAAAATATTGAAAAGTACAACGATGCAGAAATCATACAAAAAAATGTGGAGTAATAAAGGGGATAAGTTTATGGGCAAATTTAAATGCTATTTTAATTTGATTGATAAATGATAAATGTTAGGAGTTAAAATTGTGTAGCTATTTTTGTAATATAGTTTTTGTTTCCGCGGATAAGAATTTTTTTTTCTTTTAAAAATGGATGAACGTGGCAGAATGGTTAATGCAATATGGTGCATTTGGAGCCAAAAATTTTTAATAAGAAGTTGCCACATCAACATCTTGTATTCTGCTTTAATAGGGTAAAAGGGAAAAGGGATGAGTGAAAATGGAAAATGAGTTATTAGACAAACAATTCAGTAATCTCCCTTGCAATTATAAATTGGAACCAAAAAGAAAAAAGGAAAAATAGTCCATTTTAATGTATATATTTTTCTATTAATTTTATCAATAGCAATTAAACATTAAATTAAATTGTTTGAAAAATAAAATTATCATCAACTACTATTCATATAACTCATCAACTAGTAAAATTTCATTTTAAATACCATTCTTTTTCAACACAAGGACAATGTTGAAAAAATATGATAAAAGTTACCTTGATTTTGTAAAACGATATATATATGTGTATATATATATATAAATTTAGAAAACTCTAAAACGACGTATATTTTGAAATAATTATTAATTTAAAGTAACAACTATGATAACGAGAATACTTGTATAGGATAATCTAATTTATTCTGGGTGCATAGAAAGAGAATCCCTAAATCATATAGAAAAATGTTTATCGTTGGCGGTTGACTTGTCGAGGGTTTTTTTTTTTTTTCTCTCCCACGAGAATTCTTATTTTACCATTTCTTTTTTATCAATAAACAAATGCATATTTTTATCAATTGAAACATAGGAATGATTGAAGCCGTTTAAAACAAAGAAAAATAAAGAATCCATGACCTTCTCTCATTACATAATGATTTTCATTTTTCCGGTATTGTTTTTCCATACTCGAAATAATTATCTAATTTGAAATTCTGTGTCTTAATACAAATTTTTTTAAATGTAAAAATAGTTGCTAATCTGTAATAGTTCATTGCTAAATGAGCGTTTGTCACCTATTGATTATCAGCTTATAGTTGACCATGACTTCGAATTCATGTTCTTACTTGCAAATATTCTCTTGCCATCGAGAATTAGACAAATAAAAATAAATTTACCAAACATTATATTCTCTCGGTCCAAAAAGGATCTTCTAGTTTGAATTTACATATTTCAGATTGTACTAAAAGTAAAAATGTAAACAAAACATACGTTTGAGACTTGGTGTAATAGTTTCCAGTGGCCCTTTGACATAATTTTGCATCTATCACACTGTGTGTGTGAAAACAATAAAAAAAAAACTGGCACTTATATTCTAATATTTACCCTCACGTCAATCTTACTTCAAAGATTTTCAGTTGACCAATTTTGTGTCATATGTTTGAAGTTTTCGGCAATTTTGACCAATTGATCCAGTTTCTATTCTACTCAACATATTTCCTATAGTTTTTTTTTTTCCAAAAAAAGAGATTTAATCACAAAACACTTTAATAGTTTAAAAATTTATAAAAATAACTCCTATATAAAATAACAAAATAGTCCCTTTTCACTTTTTTTTTCCTGTTCTATTTTATTTCTCTTTATTACTTTTCATAACCATACAAATGTACTTATATAATTTTTAAGGGAATATATATTTATTTTCAAATTCTATTGTACAAATTAATCTATACATATTTATAACTCATGGTTGTATTTATATAAATATATCAATTTTTTTCATAATATGGTTTAGCATTAATGATATTATTTTTCTGATATATTATTTTTGAAAAATATTAATTAAAACTAATATTCCACATAAAAATAAATATTTACGTTAGATTATCAGATATTTATTAGTATTTTAGTCTATCCTTTACCAAATCAACTTATCATCATATTTTTACCTCTACTCATTTACTTCAAACTAAAATTATATACAACAAATAAAACTTCATGAAGCGAGATATATTAATATCTCAAATAATTATCACAAAATATTAAACTCTTGCAATGATAAATATATACTCCCTCCGTCCCATAATTATTGTCCTGTTTAGCTAAGATGAAAAAATTTATTTTTGGTCAAACTTAACTATATTTTAGTCAAAATTTCCGGATATACCCCTGCCGGATATACCCAAATCCAAGTCTATTTTTTCATCCTCTTCAAATAATTAGCCGGCAAATGCTGATGTTCTTTATCAATCAAGAGGTCCATACTCCTCACCATTTGAACAGAGGGGATATATGATAACAAAAAGTTCAACGCTTCCAAGCAGATTTTGGGAAAGTGGGAAAACCGTCACTGGACCACCCCAGGCGAAATCTACCGGCGAATGTCCCAAGTGCCTCCAGTCGGCTAAATCCATTGATCTTAGCTCCGGCCGTATCCCTTTGTTGTAATTCAGGACCCTTCGACGAACTCTTCATCCGGGTCATCGTCGAGGTAATTAACAGAGTTCAACGGGAAATCAACTTCAGTTCGGATGACTAGCAGCTTTTTACCTGCTTCACAGTGGAGCTCCAGACGGTTATCGTCGGAGGATGATGATCGGCGTCGGAGATTTCCGGCGAAGTAGTAGACTAAAGGGCAAATTAAAGGGCAAATGTGTAAAATATTCCATAAAAAGTCAAATTGGACAATAATTTTGGGACAAAATTTTTTAGCCAAAGTGGACAATAATTATGGGACGGAGGGAGTACAATTTTTATAAAATATTTTGTACCATTTTTTTTAAAATTCGACAATTCTATATTTTGTACCATTTAAATACTGTGTAAATTTTCTTTTCATGTATCAGTACTCATATTGTTTTGATTATGAAAGGTAGAAAAAAAAAAGTAAAAGAGACTGTTTTTAAATTATTGGGGTATTCTGAGATAAAATCTTATTTTATTGAAAACTAACGGAAAATGAAGAATTTGAATCAAATAAACGAAATTGACGAAACCTTCAAATCTATGGAACAAAATTGAATAATTAAAAATCAATAAGGTTGACAACCAAGACAAAGCTTAGGGTGAGACCGCCAATTTTTCCGCGAAACAACAAAGGATATTCTGTACTTTCAAAGGAAGGGTTGTCTTTGCAAACCAAATGGAGGTCATATGTATCATCGTACAACCAACACTTCCAAGTTCCAACGTTGCCTCATACAGTCAAAAATAAAGCTACAAGGGCTAATACATTTACCGGATTAAAAGCCTAAGAAGCTACCTGCTGATCTCGACCGCATAAAATCTGTCAACAGCTAGGAGGGAAGGGGGAAGCAAAAACAAAAACACTAGCAAAAAAAATGGTATCTATTACCAACTAAATTGACTAACATAACCTACAAAAAGAGGGAAAAAAAGGATGAAAATTGCTTCATGCTAACCATATCATTTTTTCTTTTACAAAAATTGCAACAAAAGCACCAATTTATGTACAGTAGTATCATTTCGTGTATACACCCGTTTTACTTGTTGAAGAAAAGACCTCTTTTCTTCCCTTTCTTCTTCTCAACGGCCTGCACGACAGAATCAGGAATGAGCTCAGGATTACTCCATAAGCAACCATTCTAATATTACAAACCACACTTTACATGCAAGATGATAACTGTCACTGAAATACAACAGCAGACCCTAAGAGTTAATCAACATGGGCATTCAATTTAAGTCCTTATATCACACATCAAGTTAAGGAATTGTTATTAAAAGATTTTCATGCACTTAACAGGGTGTTAATAAGGTCAGATTATGGTATGAAATTTTATGATCGTATGACTAAATACTGAAGTGATAGCGGTCAATGCTGAATTGCTGACGACAACTATGTTTTCTGGTCTTGCAGAGATCGAAATGGTGCCTATAAACTTTTATTAATTCACAGAACCTAAGCACAGTACAAAAGATTCTAGGCCAGTAGTGCATGTCCTGAACATCCTCTCTATTTACCTTGAAAATACTACAAATATTAAAGGCACTATCCTATTTAATACATTTATAACTTCCTGAGCTGCTACCCCCATTTATAATCGGACACTTGCACTTTTAAGTTGCAGGTCGAAAAGTTGAAAAAGTAAACAGACCTTGATGAACATTGCAAACTGAAACTAACCATTTGAACAGAAATTTGAAGTTCAGAAATCATACCCTTATAACAAATAGCCTCAAGACAAGGACAATTGTATCTCTTGTGCTGCAAAATAGAAGTAAAAGTAAATGCCAGATACTGTAAAATATGAGACAACATTCTCGATTCTATGCCATCATATTAACTACCAATCATGAAATTTTCAGGCCAAGTGACTTCAGATCAATATCTATTGTTCTTTCGTGAATATACATATGGAGCCACAAAATCTTCTGCACGAAGCAATTAGTGACACCAGTCAACAAATCAGTGGCTGCAAACTCTTCCATATTGTTAACTAATACACCCGGAAATATAGGAAACCTTTTGATAGTCACAGAATGAAAATAGCTCGCGAAACTACAATCTCATTTAGAATGAGCAGACGAGGGATGCACTATAACCAAATCAAGTCCTATATTAAAGCAGAAAACAGACTACCTGCTCACATCATTTGAACTGTTTTCTGCCCTCAAGAGTCGCTCAATTCCCTGATTATCAACAATTGAAAATTCCGTAGGACTACCGTATGGGATCGAAACCTGAAAATGCAGTTGAAATAAAGACTCACTTACCAGAAAAAGCACTATACAGATAGAAAATGACGCCTCTTTACGCAAATTATCATGTCCATAAGAAAGAATCTAGAGAAATAATTACATTTCCATCCATTCTCATAGGTCAATTTGAAAACACCATTCAAAACCCATGTAAAGATTATCTCCATATTCATAATCCATAAAGCTAGTCTCCAAGAAGAGTTTTTCTCATTTTGCAGGTTTCTTAGAGCACAATAATCCATCCGATGGCAGGAATTATGTTCAGAAATGATACTAGTAGAGAAAACAATGGTCTTTTGTGATCAGTTATTTTGTTCTGTGTTCTGTACTTTGAACGATTTTTCAGACTGATATAATCAAATGCCAATCTAAACTTTCACGTTTTCAATGCAAAACCAGAACCGAAAGAAAAACCAAGCAGGCTCAACATGTCATTAATTTTGTTCTTTATTTAAATGGCAAGTGACCTGGCCCGGCCAGCCAGTTGGGCAACACCTCAGTAAAATAGTCATTAATCAAGATGCGGTGAAGGGGAGTTTCGAAATTTTGGAAAGGGGGAAAACTCTTCTCTACCTCAACAATTGTTTTGACTGGACCAGTCAAAATACATTAACTTAGAGAAAACAAAAAGCTTCTGGTATTGAAACATGACAAAGTCCAATTTTCTCTTTGTTCGCGCTTATAACAAAATGGTTACCATAAATTTTCTCTTGCGCAATAATGTAGGGAGAGATTGTGAAACTGACATAAAAAAACTATTCCCTCCAATTTTTTATCTTAAGTTTCTGGTTCTTTACAAGAATTTCACTGAATCAAAAAGGTCCAGAGAGGTCACCATTTTCAGCAATAACAAGCAACTCAAGATATTCATGATCCATCACTTGCAAATATCAATTGCAAATGAAAAAAATGAATCTAATACAGAAGGACTATGCCAACTTTAAATGCCACATGAAAAATAATTTCTCATTCCAGAAGAGTGATAACACATTTAATAAAAACTTTTTACGGACAACTTATAAGGAAATGATTTGGCTACACCTAATCGTAAATGGATGCGAGCCCCAGGGGTGAGGTGTAAGCACTTGTTATTTAATACATATCATTCCTAATACGTTTTCCTTAAGAAATATCATTAAATTAAATGTATCAATAATCCAGAATTAGCAGGCTAATATTTCAAAGAAAACGTACGATTGTGGATGCCGAAAATTTTTCAGAAACGACAACCCCACTAGGTCCACTGCATTTAATGTTGTAACCATCTCTCTTAATGCTTAAAGCAGCTGGCTCCCATATATCCAGATATCCTGTCTATAACCATAGAAGGAAACTCAATAGTCAAGCTGCAAGCAATGCCGCATGTAAATAAATAAAATACATGACCACTTTGTAAGAAACATACTGATAAGGACACTTTGTAAGAACCATGACCATTGTACAGCATCCTTTCTATGTAGTTGTGCATGTCAGGATCTGTAATCCAAGATTTAAGTCAAAATTAAGTGGGAAAAGGAACTTGAATCACCAACTGAACTATAATGAGAAGGGTAATGTATAATATACCATTGGAGGGACGTAATTTATACTGATAAAACAAGAAAGAAAGCACCAAGCAATAGTACATCCAACATACTTAGCGATAGACAGCCATGGGGCAGGTTTAATTCTAATTGGCTGAGAGATTCAATGTTTAATTTAATTGGACAAAAACCCACCAAAATATCACGTTTGGGCAGCAAACTAGAGTGAATGAACCCTTCCCAAACTAGAGTGAATGAACCCTATTTTAAGTGCACTTAATGGACCACCATTATCGGATAAACAAAAGCACCAGAGGACAAAGTTCCAACAGCCTACATATCACAGTCATCTGCATGTTGCAGAAAAATTCAGGAGGTATAGCAAACAAGTGCCAGTTGCAATTCTCATTTTGTTTCCTTCAACAAGTTTCAAAGGCAGATCAGAATTCATCATCTTTCACCAAAAGGCGTTTCCTGAGAATCTTACAATCTCTTTATAGTTAACTGCATGGTTTGTACTGCTCACCCTTATTATATAGTACAAGGTTGTACTGTTAAATGCTCAGGGAATAATAACATATGAACTCCAAAAGATGCAATAAATCATCAGTAAGAGAAAGTCACCAAGCACGTGAATGAGTGCCAAAACTTTTGCATTACCAACTTTACATAGAATGAAAAAAGTATCGAAGTGTCTACTCACCGCAAGTGATCTTTCTGTGCTCATTGGCAAAGACTGTAACCAATGCACCCTGCAAAAGTCAAGCAGACTTTATCACTCTAAATTCAATTCCACAACAAAGTATCTCAAACAATTTGGTAAATCCATCTCAGTATCAAATTTTAACCGAAAAACATATTCATGTCAAAAGAAATTATACTTGATTGCTGGTGACCGTAACTGTCTCTTTCAAGTAATTAAGAAAAATTTTATACACGGGGGAACACATAACCTTTTCCTTCAAGGTGATTGAAATTTTCACACGTGAAATTTAGCTCAGGAGTAGAGATTCCATCCAAGTTGAAGTCCTAGTCGAAACATGCTCGGTACTTAAAGACTAGTGACTTTGAATAACAGAGTTGTTTCAAGTATCATTATTGATGAAGAATCTAAAGACGTCGGTATGGTTTACTTCCATTTCTATCCTCCTCTTTCACCCATTTGAATTGATGAGCAGCAATCAATTATTAAAGTTACAATCATCTTTCGATGCATGTAATAAACCACCAATAACAAGCAACATGTTGAAGGGCCCCAAAGTGAATAAAGACTACTTCTGTTTAGTTGGCACCATCCCAAAATAATCATGGATCTAATGCAAGTAACAGATGAGCAAATAGGAAAATCAAACGGAATTTCAGTTTTTCACATCAACAAGGATGTCCCATAAAATGAAGTAGAAATAAGATAAGTTATAATGCATTATCCAAACACCTATAGAAACAATGCTGATGGAAAAATACCTTCCTCTTCCTGTTATCCAAGGGTTGGACTTCAATTGCAAGATATGTATCCACGTCATCTGCAGTAACGAGATACAGTGGTTGTTTTGCTCCTGCCGATGACAACAACATGCAAATGAACACAAGATACAAGAAGATTGGCATATGCACAGGAAAAGAACATGATCAGTGCCCTGAATACCATCTATGTAGTTGAAAGATCCGTCCGCTAGATGGCGCACCCACTGCAAGTTAACAAAATAACAAAGAGCGAACAAATTAAAATCAGCTACATATCTATTCGTCTAACTGGGAACAAATAATTCAGAATTAGGCATATATGAGTGTCAAATAACCAAAAACAGTTTGGAAGATTGAAAAATATAGACACTGAGCCACAGAAGTACTAAACCTCAAAATTGCAACTAGTGGTTCCATTAATGGAGTATCCACATGCTTGGAGCTCCCGTCCTGGAAAAGCTTCACCAGATATTTGCAACCCCTCTATAGCAGGTAGCGGATCGTCATCTCCAGCTGAAAAGTTTAGTTCACATCATTCAATAGACATAGAATGATTAACAAATTTCTAAACTAAGTTCGCAATATATTTATTACCTTCAGAGAAGGAGGATGAAGGTTCTTCAAGAACCGGTGGTAAATAAGGAGAATATGAGGTGCTTGGATCCTCAATATTAGTTGGATATGATAAATTCTTAGATCTCCAATTCACTGGTTGCTCTCTATCATTTTGTTGTACGTCTGCGTCAGAGTCCTCCACATCGCTGCTGACAAGGTCCTTAAACTTTACTTGTTTAACAGAGGTCTCTTCTTTCTGATGACTTGGAACTGATTCAACCATGGTAGTAGGATGTACAGCCAACTCTCGGTTTCCAACATCACTGAAAAGCAGCAAACCAAGTGAGCTTTCCGCAAAGCGAAGCGTAAAAAGCAGTCCCTTGAGGGTCAAAGATAGTCAAATTCTAGAAATCAACAAATGGAAAAACAGATAATTACGTTGATGGTGAACGTGGGAAATTTTATCTAATGAACCGAAACGTTTTAAAGCACAGAAATGAAGAGTAAAAATAATCATGAATGGACACATTTGAAATAACACAAATGCAGAGCAAAAAGTTAAATTTTCAGATGAACTCCAAAAGAGAAATGAGCCCATAAGCAAAATCATGCAGGCAACATCTAGGACCACATTTCACATTCTATCTTAATTACCTAATTCCAGGGTTCCAACATCAAAGATTAGTGTGCACTAATAAGCTACATATCGATATTGTCTAAGAATACAGTCAGATAACCAACTCATGGCCATGAGCAAAGTTACAACAAAAGCCAAAATGCCAGGAATATACAATTCTAGAGAAATGGAATTTGCATGCAGCCTATCCAGATCCTCATTAAATATGAGAACACAAACTGGTGAACTCTTTGGCACCACTCCGGAGGCAGTTTACATGATAAAGATTTGTTCAAATTAATGTCAGATAGCAAGATATACAGCTAATCATTTAGCCTCAAGCACAAAACCGATTTTGTTAGAGGCAGCAAGATTCCTAAAGGAGCACCTGCTGCCGCTACCAGAATACTCCGACTCAATTTCCATGAAACTAAAGTTTCTCGAATACTGTAAGTTAAAAGAGCAGACATCGAGATTTCCATTATCCAGTTTTTCCATCCGACTGAAAGATATGAGAAGTAGATGGCGTACAAAGATGCATACAAACAATTTTCTCCGAACAATATTCCTTATACTAGTCCTACAGACAAATAAACCTTCACAACAACGTTAAATGCAAATAGCGGAGCCAGTCAGGAATCAGAAATAAATGCAGGCTTTTTTTTTGTTTGGGTAAATAATAAATGCAGGCTTGGAAAGTTACTACTAGCAGTTATCAGCTTTGATAATGATGCATAATTATACTCAAACTGAAAGATAAGAAAAAGGGATTCAAGATAACAGCTATAAAGTTAAGTAGTACAGAATAGACATTTGGAATAATGAGAAGAGTACAAAGTGAAAAGGAACAGTCTAAAAAAGTCTAAATAAGACAGATTAATGCATCAACAAAACCAGTTGAATATGAATGAAGGCCAAGAGGACTAAAGTAACAGATTACAGAAAACCAAAAAGTCCAAACTTAAAACATCTCAAGCACAAAACATCAAACCTATCAAAGACTGAGACACTAATTCTAGAAGCTATACGCAGCTATGAATACCTCCCCAAATCAAGAGGTGAATACCTCCCTAAATCATCAGACTCTGCATTTCTCTCACCACCACCTAAACCACTTTGGCGATTCCCCAACAAATCCCACTCGCTCGATGCCTGGGGATCTAAATATGTAGGTATCTTTCCATTTGAATATGGAGGCTGAGGCACCAGTTCAAGCCCATTTTTAATCTGTTAATATTATATGATTTTAACACAATCATCAGATTGTTTAAAGGTATGAATAAAATTAAGATGAAACACTCAAATACAAGTCCTACCCCAGAAGAATGAGCCGGCGATGGAGAAAAGTTCAAGGTGTTCACATCAGAACGCCAGGGCGCCATCTGATACTGGGACTCCTTCAGCTTTGCCTTTAACATACATACAAGCACAAAAACCACAAGAATTCATTAGCCCATAAAATCTACAAAGTAAAGAGAGATTATATGTATTTGTCGATCCAGAGCTTATGAAACTCATAGATCTTCCAACCTACCTCTGTGACAAGAAGTTTCTCCTGCATGTGTCTGAACAATACCTAGAAAGAACATCAATGTAAAACAAACTATATCATGCGATATAAAATCGACAAATTCAGAATAACGAAATGCAGGGGAAAAAAAGAAAAAAGAAAAAGCAAAGAGTATGAATTGAGATTCATTACATATGGTAGCTATTGGTTAGGTTGACAACTAATATCGTCTATATGTTAGAAAGCTTGTCACTTTACAGAGAGCATATGCAGATTCTAACTATAGTGTCTTGGAAAAACTGTTGCATCTAGTTGAAAAATGTGGGCGAGTCCTTATACATAAATAAGAATCATCAAAGAAAGCAGAAAAAGGCAAAGAAAAGAACATGTGAACAAGAAGTCCAGTCGGATCAGAATTTGGAAGATAGGAACTTAACCAGTAAAACTTTTTTCATCAATAAAATTCTCTTGAGGAGATAAAATCATTGTCCAAAAGTATCATATGCAACATGATTAATTCTATGAAATCGATTCTAGAATAAATAGAACAGCATAGTAGATTCCAGATCCATAAGTGCGTACTTAAGAAAACTTATAAAATCTCAGCTATTGGATTTGAAACTACTAGTATAACAATTAATAAGTGATGTGCATGTAGTACAAACAGAAATTTTGATGCAACTACTACAAAATTTCAAAAGATCTGGAAGCTTTAGTCCAGAATGAGGGTTCAAAAGGGTTCACAGAGACTATGGTTTCGGCACACAAGTATGAAGGTAAAACCACATCATATATTGCAGCAACTTGAGATATTGTTGAAAGTAAGGCAACATTTAATTGCCTTTAAAATTGGCAATCATAAATCATTAATTTTTATTTAAATTTAAAAAGCAACATAGAACTATGTGAAGACTGCACAGTGATATAAATGGTATATCTCAATGCAAGTTAACAGTTTTAGATAATCTTCATTGACAAACAACTGACGAAGAAGATTCCAAACATAGCCACAATTAAGTAGCGAGACTTAACAATTTCAAACAATAGACATATTTTTATGTCCGACGTAATTGAAAAACATTGACTGCAACAGAAAGTAGAAGAAAGAAGAGCCCGTGGGAAAACCTACTGACCAAATAAAAATTAATTGTGAAAAGGGTATTGCAGGAATCCAGGGAAATGAATGTATCAAGAATCATGAAGGTGGCACCAAAAGCAAGAAAAAACACAAGCAAACTACAATTATTATTAAACTAGCGGAAATGATGCTAATAATGAAGTTTTTAAAAAAAAGGTGGGTTTCTGAAGCAAAAATGATGAAAAACCAAATGTTGTCGAGAACAATTTGAAGAGATAAGACAGAACAAAGAAAAAGTTAGACACAAAATTGCAACAATCTGACGGAAGAAACCAAGATATTTAACACAAAGGTATATAAAGGACGAAAAATGAGCATTTTTTGAGGGTTAATAAAAACGAGAATATTTCGATTGTTCAATATGTTACAAAAGATTGACACAGTGGATATTTCTGTAACCTATCTAATGTTTGTTAATACTAACAAAGTCCTAAGCCAGAAAAGCAAACACTGCTGGAAAAAATAAAGAAATAGAAGAAACACTGCAAAACAAAGATGAAAATGATGAAGTCAGGAATCCTCACCACATTCCAGTGAATGCAAGAAATGACTCAGAAAAGAATGCGTTTTAACTTCTGAGCAACCTGTAGATCTATCTAACATAATAACAAACTGTTCCTCACCATTTCGCCAATCAGCTTTTTTGTCTTTGCATTTAGAACAAATAGTTTTACTCCCCCATCACATTTCAGCAATGGAATATATAGTCCCAACATTTTAAAAGAACAATTCAAATCCTTCACACGTCCAGGAGAATACATTTGGTCCTCTATCATTTTACTCACGGAAAGAAGAATAGCAAGCAGATTAGTGTCTGAATAGAGGGATAAAATTGTGAAAATATAGGATATTCCATTTTATAAAGATATTACATATACAGAATTCTGCAACTTATGAGGGTATTAAAGTAATAAGCCATTCAATCCAACTGTGAAAAGATTAACAGAAACAAACACAACAAAAGAAAGTAATTAAATGGACAACCAATTCAACTTTATGTTTCGATCATCTACAGCGAAAGCTATAAAATTGAAGGGAAAAAAAAACCCCAAAAAAAGAGAAAATGAGATTTTAATAAGCTCCTTATCATATACAAAAGGTTATATGATGGAAGTAATAAAAATTTTATATGTAAGGTATTTGAAGCAATAGTGAGAGAATCTTAGATAGATATCAAATCACACTTGTGCAATAACAACCACTAAAGAATGAGTATGTACAACTAGGCAAAACACACTAAATAGAATTAAGTTACTTCAGCAATCAGAGAAGGGACAATACCATAAATATCAAACAATTCTTGAGGGACTACAAGCACTGATCAACCAAAAAAATTGAATAAGCGAATTTGTCAACCATCTAGAAACAGCTGGGAAAAATAGTAGCTCAATGGTTTCAGATACAAGTCATATACCATATCAACAAGTCAATTCTAACCTTGACATGACTAACAATTGTTTGGGCATCAGCTACATGAGGTTGAAAAGCATATTCAGCAAGAAGAGGCATTAATGAAGATATAAACGTTGACCTTTCTTGTTGTGCAGCCTGAAACAATAAAAAAGATAAGCATTAAGACATCATCTGTGCTTGCCTGTGGTGGAAAATTAAGTCTACAATTCCCTAGCAGCTTAGAATTTAGAACATGGATCAGAGTACAAAATATCCAGCCAAATGCATTACAAAGGAACTACTTGAACAACAAAGTGAAAAAACAAGTGTTGATGAGAGGAAGCATCCAGTAAATGTTGGTAAAATATCTCTTTCATTTTCTACATCTAAAACTGATGCTTTTCATTCTTAAAGTTGTAAAGATGACATTTGCTTCTCATTAAACGGTGATAATTCTTCATTTTGATAATAATAAGTCAAAGACTGCAAATGAAAATGTTTCTGAATGATAAAAATAAAATGGTGGCCTTTTCATCCATAAAATCTGAGAGAAGATAACAGTAACAGTGAACATGCCGGTGGAAGGGAGGGCTGTATAAATGAATAGAGAAACCTTTTGGCTGATTTTAACGTAAAAAAATGTTCATAAGCAATTTGAAATCAAGAGAGTATGCTATGCAATTGCCGGCTGCATGACCAAAAACGCCAGAGCTAAGAAATGTTAGGAGTAAAAAGATCACTTTTGAAAGTAGAGGACAAAAAAGACTTTGACGAGGTCAATTTTTATCATCGACTCAACAGCAAAGTAGGGAAAGCTTCGATGTAACATCAAAAGCCTGATTAGATAACTCCCAAACCAAGTCGCACCTTTAAAAATAAGAGGAATAAAATTGAAAGTTGAAATAAAAACTCATTAAGCCTGCAAATGGAAAACAATCCAAGCTCTCCTCAAAGTCGGCAACTTGGAGAATAATAGAAAAACAGATGCATTTATAATGCCTCAGTAAAATCTTTAAAAAAGAAACAGAACAAAAAAGTTCCAGTTGTAGTTCCACACTGAAAAAAAAATGTACGCATACTACCAGATAGTATGTCTTAATAAATTTTCCAGTAAAAAAAAGAGAACAAAAGAGCAATGAGATTATTATCGACTACTACTGTTTACATTGCCAAATTCATAAACATCTCTTGCTGGTAACTGTTTCATCCTTCTTCAACATTGAATTGAATTGGGTTAGGAATCGATGGCCTAATGGTCCCCTGAAGGGTTCTGTGATGCTTCAGAATGTCTCTAGACCAAAAGAAATCAATAACACTCACAATTGGAAACTTTGTTATGCAGATGCAAGAAGGTTCACAAGCTTAGTTTAGCTAAGAGTTGTTCAGCATCAAGACCACATAACAACATCCACAAAACTATATACATATTTATCAACTAGTTCCATATTTGGACACAATCAAACTTTAGGCGAAAGCAATTAGGAGATTACACTATAGGTTTCTTTTTAGGTTCCTTCGAGCCATTTGGTTATTTCCTCGGTCGAATGATAATTGAGAATTACAGCTGCCAGATTCGTTTCCAAATAGAGATTAAAGTAAAATTTTGAAACCATCATCATTTATGATTGATAGATTATTGGAAGTGTTCTTTCACATGACTGTAGGATCTTTTCTTACTTTCTTATTTATCTCAGTTTCTTATAATAAATCAACGTTATTTTCCTTCTCTTCGCACTTCCAGCTTTGTAAGTTTTTTATTGAATTGCAATAAAAGCCTAAGCCAACTTCAATTTCCAATTGAAACACAGTGAGAATTCTACTAGACATGCGATCTGTAATGAAACCGTGTCTACTTTGTCGGAGAAGCTCTGCAGCGCCTGATGTAACGGATGTGACTTGGTTGCAGAAAAATATAATCAGGAGTTACAAGCACACAGTACATGGTACCAATTAGGGCTATATTATTGGCACCAGAAAAATATTCCTTAAGAAGGTTTACAGAAACTTAAATCTAGAAACTCCGGGAAAAAATATCCATCATCCACCAGACCACAGCGATCGCTTTTCTTGTAGAATGTTTCACAATTAACTCAGCAACAAGTCCACTTTTTAGTATATGATACTAACCTCAAAATGATAGTTTTCTGTACGAGAAGGATGATTTAGGATCTAACGCAAAGCATTGAACATTACGTACAAACAATTCCCATATTGACTAGACACTTCCTAAAGTTACTTCTCTTGGTCATTTGTCCGTATCAGGGAATCAAATTTGGATAAACTAATTAAATGTATGCATTGGCAACATACCTTTGTTCATTATGAAACAAAACAAGGAGGCGAAGCCCAGTAAATTAAGCCAGAATGCAAAGCATACGTACTAGAGGAGAAAAGAGACTTGCTCACCAAAGAATAACGGGGCGGCCAAGTCAAATAGCAGGAAGAGAGAGGAAATGCAATAAAGGGAGATCAACATGGTTATTAATGCCTAATTCCAATAGTTCAATAGCAATCTGGAATATCAAACCAAATAAAATGTTATCCTAAAATGGTGGAGGGCTCCTACAAGCAACAGGAATGTGCAGGTTTGAACTACAATGTATAGCAAACATATAAACAATTCACGTGGCCTCGTGTACCTGTGCTAAGTATTTATATCATCGGAAAAATATAAATGCCAAGAAAGCAACTAAATAAAAAATACCTGTAATGCATACGTAAGGCGAATATTTTCCTCTATGATGTCCTGCCTATAAGAAATTGCTTTAGATGCAGCATCAACAAGATCCTGCTGTTGTTGATCAAAGGCCTGCAGCAAACATCAGCAGACAAAATGAAATGTGTCATTAGATTAACCCAACAAAAAAAATTTGTCATCAGAAATTACTGATAATTGATTCTAGGACAGAAGGGATCCACTTTCAAAAGGTGCTACCAAAATTTGGCTCACCATGCGCATATATGCGATACGTTTTTCCAACACAAACTTCTCATTGCGTATTTGCGCTTCCTGCCAATGAGTGTAACAAATTAAATAAATAGCACTAAGAACGGAAAACGTCCAGACAGTTCAGAGTTCGAAAACATAAACATTGAATTACCTTAACTGAATATTCTGACAGATGCTTCCTTAACCGTAAAATTTCTTCTTCATGTTCTCGTATCTTCAAAGCAAGATCCTACATGCATGCACTGATCCAACATTAGGGCGCAGTTGTGGGGGTGCGTGGAGAGAGGGCGACTAAGAAGGAGAAGAAGGAGTGGGCAAAAAAAACATCCCAGGAATATTACAAAGATACATATCCTTGAAGTTTCAAATTGAAATACTACCAGCTTCAGACTTTTAGAGTTATTTACTTCAGCCACTGATATCTGTCCCTGTCCATACAAATTTAGTTGGGGACTAGATTCTCCTGCAGAGAGATACCTAAGAAAAAGAATTGCGAAGAACAATCAATAGAATAATTTAACAAATGTGCGAATCATGGAACAGCTTTTAGAGATGGCATCCATGCCTTTCTTTACTATACCTGCTGCGAAATGATGCAGAAGGGGATGAGTGTTCAGAGAAGCCTGAGTTTTCTGTCGCCTGACCGCCAGCATGAACATCCACAGTACCATTAACCTTGTAACTTTCAGAGTTGCTTTTCTTATGGCCTTGTATTGCAAGATGTTCATCTAAGTCTCTCTGGAAGATAATTGTATTGTGCAAATCATGTCCAGATGGCTTGTCCGAGCTTGTTATTGAGCCTTCTACTTGGTCTTCAAAACCAAAAGTTACTTCCTTATCAAGGGTAGTACTGTCACCCAAATGATTGCCTGGGTGCACTTTCAGATCACCTAATTTCTGCGGAAAATAATGTACTCAGACAACAGCCTTAATGTAATAAACAGAGAATTTACAAACAGAAATATGGATTAGCAAATCATATAAATTCAAAAGGGAGATAAACAAATCAGAGCAGCATAGCATATGCTAATCAAATTCACAATTGTTGGGTTGCAATTCCATGTAACCATTGGTTTACTGGAACTCAAGTAAGATTGTGTGTAATGATTCCAATAATACTTAAGCAAGAGTACCAAAGTGAACAAGACTTTGTGTGTCAATAAAATGTCATCACATTCAAGGATAAATTGGTGAGTTTGAGATTATGGCATTAAGGGTCAAACTTTATTAAGTTTTAGTTGTAATATGCTAAAGAAGAACATAGATTGACACCTTGTATACATTCAAACTGATAGAAAATCATTACATAGACAAACAGAATTCCCGAGAACATTAGTGGTGCAAACAAGAACAATATTTAGTATTTCAAATTGGCAGCCCCAAACAAACACAATCTCTTGAGCAAACAATTCTAAAGAAAGTCAAAGAGGAACCTACAAGTTTCTGAAGTTCTTCAGTTTTCCTCTGAAGTTCAACTCGCAGCCGATTATTCTCGTCCACCTTCAAATCACAACAATCTTGTAAACAAAAAACACGAGCAACAAAGAGTACAAGTAAAATTATTATAACAGTAAAGTATCATAGACTGACTTCGTGCCACACCTCCCCTACTCAATCATATGTCGGACAATCTAAAGCATTCCACATGCATTAATGAGTATGCTGCTGTTTATAATTTTTTTTTTTTTCATTTGAACGTATTTGGCAAAATTAGTTGAATGTAGTAGACTTTAGATTGAATTACAATAGAAAACTTTGACAAAATCACATTTGAAGAACAATGTGAAATGAAACGAATAAGATAAAACCTGCTGTTTAATGGTGGCCTCTGCGGCTTCGACGGCTTTCATAACTTGAAACAATCCATCTCTGTTTGAATTGCTATTGGAATCATTCACAACCAAACCCGCAAACTTACTTTCCAGATTCATCTCCCCATTCTCCATCTGACCACAAAATTCAACAATTTCACTTCCACCAGGAAATAGAAAAAGAAAAAAAGTTACGCGCATGATTTCGAGTTACGAATTCTCACCTTGATTGATCGAACAGAGTAACTCAAAAACCCTACAGGATGAAAAAATGAAAAAAAAAAAAAAAGAAAAAGAAGTGAGGGTTTTTCTGAATTATTCTTCCCTCTTTGATTTTCTTCTACACGACGACTGGAGTATCTGTGTTGAATCGAAAAACAAGATGATGATTTGGGAATATAATGATGGAAGAACAGATAGAATGATTCATGAATTTGATTTGATCGATGATCAGAGAAGTGAGAACAATTTAAGGGATCCAAAAGGGAATGGAAGTTTCAGCTTCCCTTCCCCTGTCCAGTGTTAACAGACCAAATAGAAAGTTATAACGAAATGCCACAGTCATTATTATTATTATTATTATTATTATTATGGGAAAATTAGCATTATTATTAGTAGTCCCATGAACAGGAATCATTATGTCTTGTGATTGAATGCAAAGTAAAGATAATTTTACATTTTTTTATGTCCAAAAACCTAGAATGCGAGGCAAAAATTAATGATAAAACTGTAAGTTTGAATGATTTCTAAATAGAAAGACCTACATAAAGGTGTCTTGACAAATTTGAGATTAAAGGGTTAAACCTCTCGCATGTCCAATCATTTAATTGATCATGATCTCTTTTTCGAATGATGTTCTATAATTAAAATTCAAACATACCACAATAAGAATTAAGATAGTTGAACTGTAATATGACCGTGAAAATTTTATAATGTGAAATACAGTTCATGATAAAAAAAAATAATGATAATAAAATTTTGACATGTTATACCTAAATTGAGACAAGTTTACATTACGTTAAATATTATTATTCATTGTTAAACTAAATTCGTAGAATCTTATCAAGATTTATTAAAATATTAATACGTATCCACACAATGATTTTTAATTTAAAATTTTAAAAAAAATTCTAATTAGTAAAAATGTAAAAAAAAAAAATTATTACCCACTCCTGTAATTTTGTATTTTTTGTGAAAAAAATTATACACCATTCATATAACCCGCACCATCTTAGTTGAGAAGATCACAATTGTCACCACTTTATAATTATATTAATGATTTCAAAGATCACAATTGTGACCACTTGACAAAGCCAACTCTGCTACCTTTTACTATGCCTTTTGAGTGTGAGTTTGCTCAGAGTTGGCTGGGAAACAGAAGATTGCACAAATGCTCTACAGACTCGTCCACTAAGTTATATACTCGTCCACTAGGTTACATAGAATTCACTTATTTTCTACCATTGGAATATTCATTAGCACCAACCTATCTCTAGTCAGCAGTTTCTGCCTAGATCAAATACACTGACTTCCTCTGAATTTCTCAGTCACATTAGAGATAAAAGTTAAACGTCATAGTGGGGGTTTTGTACTTTCTCAATCACATTACATTGATAAAATTCTAAATAAATATCAACATATGAATGTGAAAGAAGCTGCACTCCTTTTCATGCTAACTCTAAACTTTGTAACAATGAAGGCAATCCAATTGCGCAACTCGAGTATGCCAGTGTAATTGGAATCTTCATGTATGCAATGTATACATGCTAGGTATACTAAATGTTTGGCTCGAGAATATTGGAAAGCTGCCATTAGAGTCTTAAGGTATCATAAACAAAATAAAGATTTTGGACACTAGTACAATCGTACTCCTAGTGTTCTTGAAAGATGTATTGATGCTATTGGGATGAGTAGCAATGAGGCAAAAATCAAATAGTGTTTAGGTGTTTTTGCACGGTGGTGGTTTTGTTTGTTGGGCATCTAAGAAATAAACAGTTATCACACGTTCTACAATAAAATTAGAATTTATAACTCTATCTACAGTTGTAAAGAAGCGGGGTGGCTTAAATATCTTTTATTGGATCTGAATATGTGACAAATAACACTAAATATATACCCTTTTAGCAGGAATTTTCTGCTGAGTTGTACTTAGAATTAGGTATCAATTAGATAAAATTACTTTACTTTAGGGTTGATTTTACATTTCAGGGTGATCAGAGGGCCAATGTAGAATATCAACATAAATTGGGGTCAAATTGCACAAGAAGGCATAAAAAAGGACCAAACTGGAAGCTGCTGAAAATCAAGAGCTGGAGGATCGATCAGAGCTGAAGCAAGTGGAGTTATTTTGACTAAAGGATGAGGATTTATGGCAGATGATCCTAATTGGAAGAACTCTGCAGTAGCAAACTCAATTGAGGAGAAGAATTGGCAGCTGTTCTGCTGTCAAATTGTTGTTGCAGAAGTTGCTGGTATTGTCAATCAGAAGGAGTCCTTAGCTGAAATCTTGTTGCCCAAGGAAGGAGTTCTTCGTCATCACTGCAAATTGTTGTTGCTGCAAGTTGAAGAAGAGAAAGAGGGAAAATATGTGAAAAATAGCAGCTGCAATTCTGCTACTTACCTGCTATGCCTGCTGCTGCTGAACTGATGGATTGGCTGCTGCAGACAAGTGAGCAATGGTGGTGCAAGTGATCCCAGGAAACAAGGAAGAAAAGGGGCAGACTGAGGCTGAATTGGGGGCTGAAAGGCAATGATGGAAGAAAGTATGTTGTTGATGCTGCTGCTTGCTGCTCCTGCTAGAAGCACTGCTGAGGATTAAAGAATGTAGAAATGGAGATTTGTGGCTGAAAATGGTGAGGATGCGCCAGAGAAAAAGACTAAGAAGAGGAAGCAATGACAAGTAGAAGGTGGCTAATTGCGGCTGAGGAAGGATGGAGCTGTCTAAGAGAAGACAGCAACTTGCCAATTGGGCAAGTTGCTATAAACAATTCCTTCAAGCTCCTGCAAGTTACTGCCTCCACCAATCTGCTGCAAGAAAGAAGGCCAGAACTCTATCAATCCAAGCCTCTCCAATTCTTTATAAATAGCCAGCCAATAGCAGTTAGAAAAATAACAGATTGATAGTTAGAATTAGTCCAAAAAAAAAGTTAGTTAGTTAGGTTAGTTGGGTAGAAATAGGATAGTAGCAGGAGCCAAGAGTGTAGACTGTTACTCTGTCAAGTGGCGAAGGCCACTCGCCAAAGTGAGCAGACAGAATCTGCGCTGCTACCACTTCTCCCTTCTGTCCTCTAACCTTTTGATCTTAATCATGACAGATCTTTTGTACTTTGTTGCTCTCATGTTTAGCTTAATAAACATGAGTAGCTAAACTCAGTTAAGGGTTCAATCCCTGCTATATTTATGTGAAGGTTTTGATTCATTTTCCTAGATGAGACATTGTTTCTAGTTAAGTGTAAATTAACCTTTTGATTAAACTGCCACTTAATTGATTGTGCATGTATAGTTATGAAGATCTGAGAGGGGGAGCATAACTTTAGAACTGTTTAAACTAGTTTATGACAAAGGAGAAAATCTACCCTTTGGTTTCAATCATCAACGAGAGTTAGGTGCATTGGCATAGGTGATCACATAGGGCTTAAGAACTAAATAGCTTAGATTAATGAATTACACTGACTGAGAGGTAGGTAAAATTCAGTTAATCTAGGACTCTTTATTCTGTCTAAGAGGAATTATAAAGAATATATGTGCATGATCAAACAATAAATCATACACAATAGGATTACATGAATCAAAACTAGAACATAAAGATAGGGAGGTGATTGACCCTTCTGATCTTCACTCTGTCAAGTGACTATAATCACTCTACCAAGTTACAAATCTGTTCAGCTTGTTTTCCCTTGTTTTGCACAATATTCAGATTTTAAGCGATTAACTGCCGTCTCTGTGGAACGACCTTGCTTACCACTAGCTAATAATTTTAATTAGGTATTTATTTCTTTTGGGAGTGTCAACAACTCATTCACCAGTGGCCTAAACCTGATCCCCTTATTACTTTACACTGTGATAGTGAAGTCAACTGTGTCTAGAGTATTGAACAAAATTTACAATTGGAAGTCTAGACCAATTAGTTAGAAGCGTTTATACATTTGATAAAATATTGAATAGTACGTTGTCTCAATTGTGTTTGTGAGGACACGTAAAATTTTAGCGGATCCGTTTACTAAACCAATTGTGATAGAGTTAGTGGCTACAACAACATCAGGAATGGGATCAAAACCTTCTATCTAAAATTACAAATGAAGGAAACTCAACCTTTTTCTAGTGACCACTAAATTGAAAGTTCAAAGGGTAAAAATAAGCTGTTTAATAATTATGAGCTCCAAATCAGAGTGTTAATATTCCAAGTATTGGTGCATTTTGTTAGACTTAAGTGAGCAGGTTGAGAGTAATCTCTTAATGAAATTATTCCTTAGTGTTAGTTTAAGGTCAATAACAACTGAATTAAAATTTCGTCTATTTGATCATAGAAGTGATGACGCTTCTAACAAGAGTTTAAGGCTCTCTCTTATACATGGTCAACTAGGATGAGCACATGGCCAGTAATGTTATATAGTAATGTGAATTATAAAAACTATTGTGAGTGTTTATTTGTGCCAAATCAAGTCTAATATAGTTTAATTGTTGGTTTAAGCAATGAACTACCAACAAATTAGTTGTATTTGTGAAAAAAAAATTACCACTCCCAAAGCTGCCTTTTTTCTACCACTCAAGCTAAACATTCAAAAAGTTACCATCATCCCTCAATTCTATTTGGAACATATTGGCAAAATGCTTCCAGATTTTCTTCACTTCAAGGCAACCCAGAAAACGACCTATGCTATCTTCATGCATTTTACAAAAAATGGAAATAGAAGGTCTCACCTGAATGCCAAAATTACACAAAATTTCAGGAAATGGTACCATCAAGTTGTGAAGTTTCCAAACAAAGAAAGAGATTCTCAATTAATTTCTTTTTTAAAAAAAATATTAAATTGATATATGTTGAACACTTAAATTTTTGTTTTTGATTTTTCAGTAACGAAGAACTTAATCGGGCTAGGACAATTATAGATTTTTATAAATATTTTGGTTTTTTTTAAGAACTTTTACTTTATGAAAAGACAAAGATACCACTCATCCAAAAGGCAACAGAATCATTCCATTGCGTCTGAAAAATGCAGATTATCAAGTTTATGAGTAAAAAAAATATTTTGAACTTATAATCTTTGTTGAATATTGTCCCTTATGTTGCAGATCCACCTAAGTAATTTAGTGCCACTACCTTATTTATAAATGATGATATCCTATTTCGTTATTTAGATCAAGAAAAATATTTGGTTACAAGTTCAGTATGAATGTAATTTTGTTTAATCATTTTTTGATTAAACATAAATTTAAATAGTGTTTCTGTTAGCCGCTAACTTAGGAGGTCCTGGTTCAACAATGGTTTTATTATAATTTCAAATGGGACTCATAGAATTTGAAATAAAATGTATAGAGTCAAAGTTTTCAAGGAAGTCAAAATTCTATTTTTGAGTGCTTGATTCATATGACTGACAAGATTGGAGTGGAGTCAAAATTCCACTTTTATCCCAATCTCAAGTAAAAATCTCACTTTTTTCTCCCATCTCCTCTTTCGCCACTCTGCTTCACCAAAACCAAAAACACTTTTTATCAGTCATTTTTCATCTCTATCATCCCCATGAGCAACTAGCACTAGCGGCATCTAAGACAACAATGGCCAAAATCGGTATAAATAAGATAATTTATAGCGAGTCTGTTAATTGTTTAGGCCCAACTATAAATTATGTATTTGGTTTCTCAGTCTAACAAAAATCTTAATTGGAGTTTGTTAAATGTGTTAAAATTGAGGTGAGAAGTTGCGAGTGTGAAGGTAGAGGAAAGCGGAGGAAAAGAATTTCAGAGGAGAAGGGAAATTTACAAAGGAGAAATGAGGCAAGGCGATGATAAAGAAGGGGTAGAAGAGAGAATTTTCGTTTTAATGTTTGCATACCATCCAAAATCTTGAGTAATGGGGTTTTAGGACCGAATGCCATATTTCGGGAGTTTCCAATCCCAATCTTTGAACTAGGCAAAACAAATAGCAAAATTTGGGATGAATGCCATTCTTTGGAAATGAAACACTCAAACCAGGTGTCTCCTTAAAACATTATATAGTATGTGTTTCTTAACCCAAAATATTTGAATTTTTCAACAAATTGATTTAATCATTTAGTTATACTTAAATATTTGAATTTTTAGTATATATATATATATATACACTTAAATCATTTAGTGTATAGAAAGACACAATACACTGAGTATACCTCAAAAATGAATATTGTAGAAAAGAGAAACTGATGAGCTATGAATAGAAAGACACAATAAACTAAGTGAGTATACTTCAAAAATGAATATTGTAACCCTCCTACACACAGTTAGAATATTCCCTATTTTATTAATAAGGAAGTAAAAAGAGAATGTTAGAGCATAAAACTTACCATATACATAATAATGATGTATCTTCCAAAAGAAAAAACTATTCTACTATAAAGGTAAAAACCATATGACCCAACCACCTTACTACAGAAAAACTCATTAAGGACGTTGGTGACAATCATGGAAATTTCATACCCTCATGATTGCACCACCCTACTAATGAGTTACCTGGAAGGACGCTGGTTAACGATTAGTGGCATCATGCTCACTCCACCTTACTGATGAAACTCTCATCAAGGACGCTGGTAGCGAGCATGATGAACCCTTATCATCTATCTGGATCGTACATATGGGAAGGACTGCTGATCTAAGATCAATAGCCCTTTTGAGGAAGCAGGAAGATTACAAAACTCCAGAAAGATTTCTTATTTACCCAAGGAAGCCTTCCTTGCAAGACTGTCTACCACATCATTAGCTTCTTTATAAATATGAGTGACAATATAATGCCTTCTAGCTTATATCTGTTTTAACTAGCAGTGAAGTGTGATCATATACTTCTCTATGGTAATACAGTAGTTAAGGTATGTTGGAACTTTAGCACCCAGTCCCCATTAACTAAGACTGTATCAATCTTTGACAAAATTTGGGTGTTCCCCGTCTGTCGGTTACTCCAGGTAAATTGAAACCCCTGTTGTTTCAGATCATGAACTTAGGCCTTCTTCTACGTATCTTCTAAAATCTGGATTTCTGCCAGCATAATGGGTCTTCCACACAATCTTTCCTCAACTTTCAACATATTGTTAAAGTCCCCCATACATCTATTTACTTTTCCCAAAGTATTGACCTCTCTGATGCAATGTCGCTACCATATACTACTGTGAGATTATACTCAGAGTTATCCATCCTCTTAACCATACAATGTACCATTTGATCAATACATAGTATAGTTGAGAGTTGAATTTCTCCTTTTTTTTTTTCCACAACAAGCAGATCCTTCCTCTATAATGCATATCATAATTCATAAAAGAGTTGTAATGATTCCAACTCCTACCCAAGAAATCCTCCCCTTTAGTTCTAGTAAGTTTTTTTTCTATAACACATGCAATATCAATATTATGTAATGATACCAATCTAGCTAATTCTTTTTGCTTTATGGGGTTGTTCAAACCCCTGATATTCTAGGATAAGAGTGTGCTCATTGATTACCTAGATTAGGGGGAAATGGTCTAATGCTTCCTTCCACTTTTTTCCCAGGCTCAACTACATTGCTGTTGCTTGTGCTGGCCTCTTCCTCTTCATCAAGCACTTGAAACCTGGTCATATGCAGTTTAGTTACTTCTTCAGTTGCATTTGGCATTGCACTTTCTTTCACAACTATAGTTCCTCCTATGGGATTTGCTGTTGTTCCTTGAGCTAATTGGTCTTCTTCCATAACTACAACAACTTTCCCTTTTTGTACTTGTCTCCATTCCTTCCCAGTTTGAAGTCTTTCTCTGGTTTCAGCAATTTTGGGTAGACCTCCTCCTCCGTTGTCAGCTTTTTTCCTGCAAACCTCTCCTCCATGTCCATAGCCCTTACAATGAGAGCATTGAGTTGGTCTCCATTCATAAAACATGAGCTGATGTTGCAGTATTCCGAGTTCATCTTCAAACATCACTTCCAAAGGGGTAAATCTTGTATCTCCACATCAATTAACACTGTTGCATACTGCACTTTGGTCTTCTCTGTTGTTTCAACATATGCCATAATAGGCCTTCCCAGGTTGCTATCCAATCTACTTAGTGATTTTGGGTTTCAGTACTTTAATTCCAATCTATGGAATTGTACCCACACAAGAACATGAGTGACTTCCCTATGATTAATTCCTTTTTCAATACTCCATGGTTTCACTATTACTGACACAGCTCCCATATGGTAGATATTCACACTCAACACATCATCCCTATTAGCTACTGAATGAAAGTGAATCAAATAAAGCTCAGATGGTAATAACAATAACTTATCCACACAGTTCTTCTAGAGGCTCCCATAGTAGTTCTCCATTACCTTCAATGGTGGATTGGCCCCCAGAACATAGTTGATTACTGAGGGCTCCCAGTAGTTTGCCACCTCTTGGACATCTTCAGTTTACATTTTGCTGATCTTCTTACCCTCCGTTTCATTCGGCTCTACAAAATCCAATTTGGCCCCTACTTTCCATAACTTACTTTGGTCGAATTCCGCCCACTTCTGATGCAGTATTTTGTTTTCTTCCATTTTTGTTTCTGATAGATCCAGTCTTCGTGCTGTTCCTCCAGCCCTAATTTGGTTGCATTGCAAAGCTTGGTCACATCCTGCCATGTTCTGATTATATCCAAATCGGTCTGCCATCGTTCCCTCTCCACTAGGGTTTGCTGGTTTTCCCAATTCCTTTCCCCTTCCGCTTAATTCTTCTTCCCTTTCTTCAACTATTTCATCCGTCAATTGAGATCTCTCTGGTGTTTTCTCTTCTTCAATAACTGACATTTTATTTATTCTCTTCCCTCATTGTTTCCCATTCGCCATGGCAAGCTTACATCATCAATGGGATGTCCTTCGCTTAGAGAGAGAAGCTCTCAGAGGAGAGAGAAAAACTTTCGATACCATCTTAAATTTGAACTTAATTATTTTTTGATTTAGAGATTGTCATGAGAGTATTTTTAATATATCCCAAGTTTATCAAATTTTAAATAATATAAAATTTGTGCAAAAAAGTACACTTTTTTATTAATTTTCATTTTATTTTGGGAAATTTATTTTTTTTATTAATTTAATATCTAAATTAATTTTTTATTGTTTTTATTAATGTAATTATTTTAATACTTATCATAATATTTTATCCAATGTAATTTTTTTCATTAAAAATTTTGTTCAAAAAATAACCCCCTTGACTTGATACTAAATATGGTCAAAATACATTCAATAACATCAAAGGACCAAAAAAGTTACATTTTGAAATGTAGAGGATCATTTTAACCAAATGTTAATATAAAGGACCAAAATGTGTATTTGGCCTAATGTTAAGGACCATTTTCAGATTTTAGTCAAATAATAAACATTAAGCAACTATAGAAGTGCAAAAATCATGTATATTGTGAGCGGTTATGTACAATTTTTTTTTTAAAAAATAGATATCGGCTTCACTGCAATAATTTTATATAATTTAAATGTATCAAATGGCACATGTAAACTATTAGAAGATACCAATTTTTTTTTCTGGTATCATCAGGAATCTCACCAGAGATAGGTAGAACCCACTCCCACTGCATTAACTTACAAACCATAATGGAAGATAAACCACCCTGTGTGATAAGGTAGGGTGCGAAGTTGAGAATTCATATATGGGTTACCATAACAAACCCTCTAGATGTGCCAATGTGCAAGGTTAGAGCCACTTTTCCCTCTTGTTGGAGTGAAAAATTGAACTCATGACCTATTGAGAGTAAGGTGGTTTTAATTGAATTAACATCTCATTCGCAAGATACCAAATTTTATTGATAATTAAAATTAAAGGCACATAAAATATTGATTACATAGAAATACAAACAAAGGATTAATAATTGGGAAAGAGGGATAAACAAACAATATCCAATACCATCAGTATAACTCATTTCAATCGCCTCACATGAGGAAAATTTTGTGCCAAAAATTTAATTGATCAGCCTAGTAATCATTATCTTCTTCTTAAATTTCTTCTTAAAGTGAATTACCCAGATGGGCCCAGTTGCAGCAATTAAGAGGAGAATCGAAAAGCTATTTTTTGAAAATCGGACCGGCCTGGACGGTCAAAGCGGTTAGCCTAAGAACCAAAGGCCTCAACGGTCCAATTTCTCTAAAGAATTGAAATTTATAAAAACTCGGTCAAACACGGTCATACCCGGGCAAAACCACGGTTTGACCAGAAACCGGTACTAGTTCAGACCAATTTTTTTTATAAATATTTTTTAGACTTAATTTTTAAAATGTTTTTAATATTATTCAAACTGATTTTCACTGTTTTCGAGGATCGAACAAACCGGTCAACCCAGTTAACCTATTACTTCGGTTATGTTAACTATTCACCTTCCGGTCCGGTTTTTAAAACATAATCGCAAGGGGCATTAACCACACGGAGATCTTCATGAGTAGTTCAAATATATGCCGGAATTACAATGAAAACTGTGGCATTGGCGGAGTAGAGTGAAGCAGGGTCCAACGTAGTCCAAAAATGGAGCGAGAAAAAAAAAGAAAAAGGAAATGAAATGGTACACAGATTAAACAATTGAAAAAGGAAAAATACTGGGTGTGAGCTTTGCATGAATAGTGGTCCAGTCTTCTTTTTGAATAACTCTCTAAATCTAGTCGCCGCTCTCAATATTAAATTTTATAGTTTCTTTTAAAGTATCGATTGGAAACTTCTTTACTGTAAAATAAAGCAAAAAGTGAGATTATAGTACAACGTTGGAGATGACCTTAATATAACCGATACCGGTAGGCAGAAAAAAAAATTGTTTTTGGTTTGAAAAAATTGGGAGGCTTGTGATGTTTAAAATTCTTCTTTTTGGCATGGAATATTATACCATCCTGGAATGGATTAATCATATTGCAATTCTTAAGTTTGTGCCTGCTTCTTATAAACCAAAAAAGAAAAAAAAGGATCTACGAAAACAGAAGAAGAGGGGAAAAGGACCTACGGAGGAAATCACGTAGGCAAGGGAAAAGATCGAAAGTCTAAGAAAGGTTACCGAAGTTGATTCGTCAAAGGTCAACAGCCCTAATCTTAAATCGAGTTTTTCTCGTACTGATACTTTGGAGAAATATCATCTGAGAATGAAATTCGGAACAACATAAAGTAGTTCAAGTAGGCGAGTCATATGGAATTAGCAAGAATTCAGGAATTGAATCTGAGAATGAAATTAGGGCAAAAGAACCATCAGGAATTTGGGAAAGTTCGGATACAAAGAGTAAATTGGGGCTGAATCGAAAGTTAGAGTTTGTTGAACCGAATTCAAAACAGGATAAGCTAGTAGCTAAAATTCTAAAAGATGAAATCCAAGAGGCTGTCGATTACTGGAAATCGTCTATCATATGCTATGTTTTTGGGGCCAGCCCACAATGGTTATCTCAGACGGATTTGGGGTAAATTGGGCCTAGATAAAGTACTGTTGCTAGACAATGGCGTCTATGTGGTCAGATTCACTTTTATCTCGGCTAAAGAGCAAGTCCTGAAGTAAAATGTGTTCCACTTTGATCAGAGACCATTAATAGTCAAAGATTGGGATGTAGAAGCTAGGTTTAAGATTGAGGATGTTAAAAATGTGCAAGTGTGGGTGCAATTACCTAAACTCCAGCTGACATACTGGACTGCAAGAGCTCTAAGCAAAATCACAAGTTCATTAGGAAGAGCAATTGAGATGGATGAAATGACAGCTTCAAGGAATCATGCCGCATATGCAAGGGTTCTGATTAAAGTGCAGATCAAGGACACAATGCCTATCTCTATTTGGTTTGAAAATGAATTCGGGATTTTGCAAGAACAGAAAGTCAAATATGAATGGTTGCCAGTCAAGTGTGCAAACTACAAAGGATTCGGACATGAGACCAACTGTTGCAGGAAGCCAGTTGTTAAAACCTGGCAGGAAAAACAAACTCCTCGGAAGCAAATCATAGAAAAAGAACAAAAGAATTCAGATGATAACTCAGGGAAGAAGATAGAATCTGTTGAAAAGGCAAAGGAAGTACCAGAATCTCTTCCAAGTGTAGCATTTCAAAGAGCAACAGGAGAAGCATGAAGGAAGAAATGAACCATCTTGAACAGGAGCTCACCAAAATCTCAGGAAAGAATTCAGGCAAAATGAAGGAAAAATTACCTCCGAGGCAGAAGCAGACAGGAACCACTAAAGGCATAACTACTAGGTCCTCTGCTATAGGGTCTAGTAAATATGAATCTCATTAGTTGGAACATAAGAGGGCTTAACAGCCCTCTGAAACATAGAGAGATAACTAAGTTTTTCTCTATCAATAAAGTGAGAGTAGCAGGCATCTTGGAAACCAAGCTTAATGCAGCCAAAGTAGAAGAGTTAATGAAGAAGTGGAGCAATTACGACTATGTTAGTAATCATCAACAAGAAGACAAAGGTAGAATAATATTAATATGGCAGAAAGGGCTCTATATAGCAAGTAACATCCAAGTAAAACAGCAATGGATCCACTGCACCATAAAGGAAGTAGGTAATCGAAAAGAGTTTGACCTAACTCTTGTTTACGCAGATCATACACCTGCAGGAAGAACTGGGTTGTGGCATGATCTCCTGAGCAAAACTGGGACAATTACCAAGCCATGGATCACATTAGAAGATTTCAACTATATTTTGAAACCGGAAGAAAAGTTAGGAGGAACAAGCAGCTGTACCATTGACTCATGAATGTTCAGGATGGTAGTCGAAACCTGTGAATGGAAACACAAGAAGGAAAATACGCTTGGTCGAATAAACAGTTAGGTGACAGCAGAATTGTTTCTAGGTTGGACATAGAATTTATCAATGAAGACTGGTCTGAATCTTTTCCGGATGCTACCGCAACAGTGCTTACAACTGGTATCTCGGATCACTGCCCATTGCTGATAAAATAGAGTCACTCTCAGACAGGAAGAAAAATCTCTTTTAGATATTATAAGATGTGGGCGCTGCATTCTCAATTCAAGGAAACAGTGCAACAAGGTTGGCAGAGGGAAATTGATGGCAAAGAAACTGCAAAAATGAAGGGAGTCTTGAAAAACTTCAATAGAGAACATTACAGTGAAATAGAAAATAGAGCACATGAGTTGAGGAGGAACTAAGCAATATCCAAAAGCAGTTGGGAGAAGACCCTCTTAACTCAGATCTTCAGGCATCAGAAAGGGACACAACAAGACTTTATGTTGAAGCTAGCAAGGCACTAATAAGCTATTGGAGGCAAAAATTGTAGGAGAAATGGGTGCAGGAGGGGGACTTAAACACCAAATACTTTCATGCAAGTCTACGACAGAGGAGGAACTAGAACCGTATACTGTCCTTCACATTTGAACAAGGCGAGCTGATTGATCAATGGGAAAAGGTACAAGATCACTTCCTTAACTATCTTAAATAGTTGTTAGGTACTACTGTGGATAGAATCAACATCTATTGAAGTCTTTGAACTAGGGATTAAACTGTCTGTAGATCAGTCGATTCTCCTTGTTCAAAACTTCACTAAATCTGATGTTAAAAAGGCTATATTTAGCATAGATAATCAAAAAAGTGCCGGCCCGGATGGTTATAGTTGTGGGTTTTTTGAATCAGCCTGGGGTATAGTAGAGGAAGATGTTTGTAAAGTTATTCTAGAATTTTTTAGTTCCAGAAAACTACTAAAACAAATAAATAGTACCCTCCTAACCCTGATCCTAAAAATCCCAGCCCTAAAAATGCAACAGAATATCGTCCCATAGCTTGTTGCCATACCATTTATAAAGGAATTTCGAAGATGATAAGTAGTACACTAAGTGAGGTGCTGCCTGCTTTAATAGATCTCAATCAAGGGGCTTTCGTAAAACAGAGAAGTATCCTGCACAATATTATGCTCACACAGGAATTAGTCAGGCTTTATAGGCGTAAGTTAGTTAAACCTAGCAGCCTCCTGAAGGTTGGCCTAAAAAAGGCCTTCGACTCTATTCATTGGGATTTTCTTAGAGAAATGCTGCATTAGCTCCACTTTCCGCCATTGTTTTCCAATTGGATAATGGAATGTGTCTTTTTCTGTAGCTATACCTTGAATCTGAATGGGAATAGTACTGGATTTTTTCAAGGTCAAAGGGGTCTACGTCAGGTGATCCTATGTCCCCTTTGCTCTTTGTCTTAGTTATGGAGTATTTGAATAGGATGTTCAAAAAAGAATCTGCTAATGGTTTCAAGTTCCACCCTTTCAGTGAGAAACTGAGAATCACAAATCTCAATTTCGCCGACGACTTGCTAATCCTGTGTGAAGCTGATATCGGTACTATAGTAAAGATAAAGCAGATCCTACTCAAGTTTGCTCAGACAACTGGTCTATCTATTAACCTGAAAAAATACAATATGTATTTTGAGGGAGTGTCAGAACAAACTGAGATAAGAAAAATATTAGGGTTTCAGACTGGATCCTTTCCCATACAGTACCTAAGAGCCCCTATATCACCTAATGCATGGAAGCAGGAAGATTGTTAAGGTATAGTGGATAAAATAACATCACGAATTAAATGATGGTCCACAAAACACCTTTTCCTATGCAGGAAGATTAGTATTAGTCAATTCCGTTATGCTCAATCTGCATATGTACTGGTTGGATTTCTTTCTTCTGCCTTAATCTGTGGTAAAGCAGATTGAAAGATGCTGCATGGATTTTCTCTAGGGACAGAAAGGATCAGGGCGAAGTTGGCCTCTAATAGCTTGGGATGAGCTCTGTAATAGGAAGAAGGAAGGTGGTCTGCGCATAAAGCAACCAAGCAACTGGAATAAAGCCTTAATTGGGAACCAAGTCTGGGATTTGGCACAGAAAGTTTATGGATATAGTGGATGCACACCTTCTACTTAAAAGGAAAAAGCATATGGGAATATGAACCTCCTCTTGATAGCAGTTGGCACTGTAAAAATCTGATGAAGATAAAACATGAGCTAAAAGGAGGGGTGCAGAATGGCAAGTGGATAAATAGAGGCAGGCCTTACACACTAAAATCAGGCTATGGATGGATCACAGGAAAACCAGCAAAATTCCCAGTTGCAAAGCTCATATGGAGCTCTTATGCACTGCCCAAGTGCAGCTTCATTTGCTGGTTGCGAAGACTGCAAACTCAGGAACGCTTGTGAAGACTTGGGCTGATTTAAGATGATGAAAAATGTGAGTTCTGCGTAGGTAACCAGGAAAATATTGATATCTTTTCTTTGATTATCCTTATTTCCAGGAACCGATAACTAGTATTAAGACTTGGTTGGGCATTACTACCTCAGTATCCTATTTAAGATCAGAAACCAACAGGCTGGTTAAATACAGACAAAAGAAAAGGTTGAAGTAGCAGTTGTTTTATGTAGTTATCAATGCTGCAGTTTACAATTTGTGGATTGAAAAAAATAACAGGAAGTTTAGGAAAGAAGACAAGACAGTGGCAACATGTTTTGAGAGATTGAAAGTTGAGATAAGTTGGAAATTTTAGATTTATTGTAGAAAAGGTAGTGGCGATGACATACAATATTTCTCTAAAAAAAGACATACAGTATCATTTTGATCTAAGTTGTAATAGATGATTGTAGATGGTAAATGATTAACAAGTGTATATAATGTAATTTACCTTACCAAAAAAAAAAACAAATTTAAAGTAACACAATTTTTCAAGAGATAAATCCGGAAATCATCGGCGCACTTGCCGGTATTCAAATCGGCAGCATTTCCGACTCCGACTTCTTTAAACCCGCCTTCGATTTCGTCACTAACTTATATATGCTGCCATGCTCCTCCACATCGCCGTTCTACCAAAAGCACACACTGCCATTTCCGGTTTCACAAAGAAGCCCTAGCCCTAAATTTCCGGTTCAATTTTTTTGAATTGGTGCTTTCTTTTTGGTTTTCAGGGAAGATTATGATTCATGGCCGGTTGGATTTTGAAGCCCTGTAGCGCTTTAAGAATCCGGACAAACATGTGGAGTCCATTCGGGTCATGAACCTGTTTGATAAAATCAGGGAACTCATTGCTGCTCTGCATTGCCCCATAAAGTTCACTCTCAAAGACTTGATTAAGCCCGAGCCTGATTGTTACAGAGATTTTCGTTAGTGCCGTCCTCAATTTTCGCCTTCACAGGTATTACATGAAAATTCTGGTTAACTTTCTGCAAACAATTATCATCAAATATTGGAGCTGCCGAGTGTAGCTATTACAGCATGTAAAAGTAGTATTGCTGCTGTGGGGTTTACGTGAAGGGAAAGGGCAATAAATGTGGAATTTGTTTGGGTTGGTAGCCCATGTGATGCCCTTAGGAAGTTCATGTTACTTTTCTTTGGTTCAAGTAACATTTATCTGATAATGATTGAATATTTGTGGAGATGCAAAGATGAATCTTTTCAGTCCGGTAGGGGAAAAGGTTCATTGAACAGAAAAAGACTGGAGTTTGATATCTTGAATGCTATTGCTTGATACACTTCACAGAATTTTATCTTAACTGATAGTTTTCTTAAATCTTCTTTCCAGTTAAATGATGAGATTGCAGAGTACAATCAATTGAGGGAAAGTGAGATTCAGCTTGTTCAAGGAATTGATGCCAAAGTCAAAGAATTGCGGCAAACCATTCTAACTCTTGACAATCACCACATGTCTGAAGGTTAACGTGAGAAAGACAAAGGAGAAGGTCAAAGAGATGGATGAGAAGGTTGGTGTCTATTTCCATCCTGGCACCTATTGAAAAACTTAAGTGTTCCCTTTTTTCCTCCCAAGATAATGTGTTATATACTACCATAATGAGGGAGGTGTGTGCTGTTATGAAACTCTGGATTCAACATTCTGCATATTGTTGTCCTCATGCCATTTTGTTCAGAAGTTCAACCCAGAAGTGGTATCTGAAATTCAGAGATAATAAAGTACTGGCAATCATTTCAAAGGGACTTGACCTTTTAGAAAACTTATGCACGTTTAGGTCTGGGAAATCAGCTTCATTTGAAATTGACCTTTTTTCTTTTCCCGTTGTATCGTCAAAGGGACTTGATATAACTTCAAACCTGATATAAATGCTCTATATCCTGACGAAGTAGCTACAGTACCAAAGTTTGTGCATATAACCTCATTTGAAAAAGTAATTGTGCTATTTTGATTCTGTCAAATGGACGTACAAAACTCAAGTACAGTACAGCACTTTAAAGTATTGGCATATTTGATGGCTTTTATTACCATAACTATAGTTGGCATGCACTTATTTATTCTGGTTTTTGGCTTTAGTTTTCTGAAAACAAATTTCTTAGGGATCTGAACATTATGTCGGCGGATGAATTTTTCTGGAAGAGGCTACTAGTTGTAGCCTTTATATTCTCAATTTGCTGTTATCGTTAGACTGAACCTCTTGAATCCAAAATTTAGTTTAATATGGATCTTTCCATGTGAGAATTACAACCTTTCTGTTTCTCAGGAATCTATTAGCATTTGACCAGAAGGCTACTTGTGTACCATTTCCTCTTTTCCTGGCAATATACTTAGACAATGCACCTCTTTTCCTAATAGCTCTGAAATCATCTGGCTCTCGTGACAATATCTTCCCCCTTTGGTGTTTCAGAGGACGCTTGCTGAGATAAAATCTGCTAAACTTGAAGCTAAAGATGCTGAAAGAGTAGCAATGCAAACTTTCCGTGATAAAAGTGCACTTCTTGAGGTGTACACAAAGGTAACTTAACTACGGGCTCACTCTGACATACTGGAAAGGCTCAAGTATGCTAGCTCGTCTGTTTTCTATTACCAATTAATTTATTAACTGGTTTGTGTTTTCAAGAATAGGATTGTGTAGTTGTTTTCTTCTTTGTTTTCATTTTTTGTTTTTGTTTTTTTTTTTAATATAATTGTGTGGTTCTAATTACATTACTTGGTAAAGATATGTGGCATATGACGTCCAGTTTTGTGCTTTCTAATGCTCTATTACCATTCAAGTTTGTGTTTATTTTTCCTGTGATCAATATATCCATTTACATGGTCCCCATATATTAATGGCAAAATTTGTTGGGTTTGGGGACATATATAAACTATATAATGCTATTACTTGTAGTTGATTGAATACACTGAGATGACTTAACAATACTGGCAATCATAGCCCTTATGAATGTTGTCCTTTTCTTTTTCCTGTATCATGTTTTTGCCTAAGTTTGACAGATATTCTATACTTAGCTATGTGAGCTTCGATTTGCCAGATGATCGACCAATATTAAGGATCAAATAGAGAACAAACACCCCCCCTCCCCGTTTCTGATGAAATTTGGGCCTTCAGTTCATAGAGATTACAGTAATCGCAACTCAGACGTGAATCTTCTGATAAAGTCTGTGTTTTCACATTTTCAGGCTTCCATTAAGCTGTACAAACAATTAGTGCAGATGAAGGCTAAACAACACCAGGTATTCTCAACGGTTTGGTTTCATTAATGTATCCGTGCTTGTTATCTTTATCAGACTCGGCCAATTGTTCTATTGGAACTTGGAGATACACGTCATTTCATTGTACCTAGTTCGTCCTTGTGCACTTTGAACTTTAGATATATACATCATTTAAAGAATAATTTTTTGACCCTCTGTGTATATTGGTTGGATACTTCTGTTGCTTGCATGTTCTGGTGTTTTTATATGTGATTTTTCTCTTCAAAGATATTTTGACCGATGGGCACTTTCTCCATTATAATCTCTCCATGCTTCAGGCTGTCTCAGTACACCTCTAACAGCTCCATTCTTTCTAAAAGTTTGTTCTTTTGATTTGTTTTTGGCACCAGGTGAACTCAGCCAAAATAATCGAAAGGGATCTTAATGTTCTCGAAGCCAATAGTAATTGCTTAATAATTGATTGAAACTCTCGGTAACATTCGGCATTCTGGGAAGTGTAATAAATGTCAAGTCGAACTGCACAGAAAGCAGTTAATCTATTACGCAGTTTCAAAGGAAGCCCTTCTGGTTCTAGCGGCCACCACCTTCATCTGCTTGGGGATTGCATATCATCAAAATCTTTAGCTGACGGTAAATTAATCTGTCAAGTTCTGATTAAAGACGCTCAGTTTAATTCCAATGACCAGGCCTTTACTCTAATATTGGGTGAGCTAACTAAACTCTTTGTTTCCTGCGGCAAACTAGACTTGGCTCAAAGAGTTTTCAATGCTGTCCCAAGCCCATATAGGCGAAGGAAAGACTTTTTATGGAACCAACTGATCAGGGCATATGCTTGGGAAGGACCCTTTAAGAAAGCAATTGATCTGTACCATGAAATGGTGGATTTTGGGGTCAAACCAACAAACTATACGTATCCAGTCGTGCTAAAAGCTTGTGCCGCATTGAGAGATACTGAAACTGGGGTAAAGATTCATGGTGATCTAGAAAGACTTGGGCTTGGCGCAGATGTTTTTGTTTGTACAGCTTTGGTTGATTTTTATGTGAAGTGTGGGTGTCTGGGCCAGGCATGGGAGGTATTTGATGGGATGCCTCACAGGGATATTGTGGCTTGGAATGCAATGATTGCTGGGTGTGCAGCTCATGGGTTGTTTGGAGATGTACTTGGATTAGTGTTGGAAATGCAAGAGGAGGGTGTGAGTCCAAATTCCTCTACTCTGGTAACCATTTTGCCCGTTATAGGAGAGGCTAATGAGGTGACTCTGGGAAAAGCTGTTCATGGTCTGTGTCTAAGGAAAGGAGTTTATGGTGATGTAGTTGTTGGGACCGCACTTCTGGACATGTATGGAAGATGTGGGTTGTTAAATTATGCAAGAAGGATATTTGATGGGATGAGTTTAAAAAATGAGGTGACTTGGAGTGCCATGGTTGGAGCTTGTATAACATGTGACTCTATGGAAGATGGACTGCAGTTGTTTAGGCAAATGAGGGCAGAGAATAGTGGTGACAGTCCGTCACCTGTAGCACTTGCAGCAGTTATCCGAGGTTTTGCTAAGCTAATCGATGTGGAGGCTGCAAAACAGTTACATGGTTACACATTAAAATTGGGTTCCATTCTGGATTTAATGGTGGGTAACACTTTGCTTTCATTATATGCCAAGTGTGGCATAATCAATGATGCATTAAGGTTCTTTGAGGAAATGAACTTCAAGGACTCTGTTTCATATAGTGCGCTCATTTCTGGATGTGTCCAAAATGGCATGGCAGAGGAGGCTTTGAAACTTTTTCGTAAAATGTGGTTATTCGGGGTTGAACCGGAATCAGCAACCATTATGGGTCTCTTCCCCGCTTGTTCCTACTTGGCTGCTTTGCGACCTGGGCGTTGTGCCCATGGTTTTTCCATCAGGCGTGGGTTCACTGAAGATGTGTCTGTTTCTAACGCTCTGGTTGACATGTACGCAAAATGTGGTAAGATTGATGTTGCGAGAATTGTGTTTAACAAGATGCATAAGAGGGATGTGGTGTCATGGAATGCAATGATCATTGGTTATGGGATTCACGGGCTGGGACTGGAAGCCATTTCACTTTTCCAGAATATGTTGGTTGTTGGCCAAAAGCCAGATGATGTTACCTTTATCAGTCTGTTATCTGCTTGCAGCCATGCAGGACTTATTGCCGAAGGGATGCAATGGTTTCATTCCATGGGTAAGCAATTCAGCATTAAACCTAGGATAGATCATTATTTGTGCATTGTAGACCTTTTGAGTCGTGGCGGTAGTTTAGAAGATGCTTATAAAATCATTCGGGAGATGCCGTTGGAACCGGATATCCGTATATGGAATGCTTTGCTTTCTGCTTGTAGGATCTATAAAAAAGTTGAATTAGTTGAGGAAATTTCAAATAAGATTCAGAGTTTGGGACCTGAAGGTACAGGAAATTTGGTACTGTTATCGAACATATACAGCACTGCTGGGAGATGGGATGATGCTGCAGATGTTAGAGTTATGCAGAAGGGTTTGGGTTTCAAGAAGATCCCAGGAAGTAGTTGGATTGAAGTAGATAGAGTCATCCATGCATTCCTTGGTGGAGATCAATCTCACCCAGAGTCAGCTAGAATCCATGCTAAACTGCTGGAACTACAAGCAGAAATGAAAAAGATGGGCTATTCTGCAGAAGCTAATTTTGTTTATCAAGATGTTGAAGAGGAAGAGAAGGAACTCATCCTCCTATACCACAGTGAGAAGCTTGCGGTTGCATTTGGTTTGCTTAATATACATGGGAAAAGTCCTATTTTAGTTACCAAGAATTTGAGGGTGTGTGGGGATTGCCACACAGCATTGAAAATTATAACCATTATCACAGAAAGGCGGATCACTTTGAGGGATACAGTTCGCTTTCACCATTTCTATAATGGTAAATGTAGCTGTGGAGATTTTTGGTAACAAAGAATAGAGAATTGAACTTATTATGATGCTAATGGTACGCTGGACCTTTGAGTTCTTTTTTTCCCAAGCTGCTTTTGGATCTTTTGGATTGGTAGGTGGCGAATATATTTCAATTGGACATTTCTACACTGCATATCTGTACCACTTTTGACATCATGTAGTGTTTAAGATATCAAAATGAATAGGAGAAAGAAACCGGTGTAGGATATTTGTTTGAAATATCAAAATGAATAGGAGAAAGAAACAGGGGTAGTATATTTCTTACAGATGAAAGTTTTTAATTATGCGTACTTTAGAAATTCACCACCAAAGTTAAAGTTTCATACAATGCTACAAAATTTTTCAAATTTTATGTTTTCACACTATCAAGAATGCTTTTGCCAAAGACGTCTGATGTCAAAATAGAGTTTCAGATAATCTGCATGGGTCATTGTCTTGTACTTGGCTTCGTTTTCTTTTGCTGGATGCTGTAAGGGACTGTTTTTTTGCTGCTGCACTTGGATTGTGAAACGCAGCAGCAGAAATCCTTTCTTTCTGGAAAAGGCTCTGTGCTCAATGCTTCTATACACCCCTTTACTCATTATCTGCAACAACATATAAAAGCCTATGTTTGAAAAGCTGGGAAATTTATGTAATAACAAAGGAAGGAGTTGGTGATTTCACCTCCAATGCATCACCAATGTTTACAACGATGGCTCCTGGAAGAGGTTGTATTAGGTAACCCGTAACCATTTATCATTTTTCTTCATCTGGAGGCCTTCCAATTCATTGAGTTGAACCAACAAGGTTAACAGTGATGCATCCGAGTGTGGACTGATAGTCTGATACCAGAACCTTGTCTGCTTTCGAGCAAGGGGCGGATAGAAATTCATTCTTATTGCTTGTGTGCATTCCTCATACATATTGACGAATTCCTTAAATTCAACCACGAGATTCATGGTCATCAGCTCATACAGATCTTGCAACTCAAGTGAGTATTCCTTTAAGTTTGAACTGATACAGGGTGAAACAGTGAAAAACTTAATAATATACGTTTTGACCTCTGAACTGTGTGTCTATACGGCCTGAGAGAAATCAACAAAAGCAAAAAAGAAAACGAAGAAAAAAAAAATGCTCTGTTTCCTGGAAATCATTTGTCCAAACTTTGATACATATGAATAGCGGGAAAATCACTTTTTTAGTCCCAAGTTATTATTTATTAGTCGATTTAGTTCCAAATTATTATAAACTAGTTAAATTCATTCTAACTAATAAGTTTATCTTCGATTTAGTCCCATGGATGAAAAAGCCCCCAAACTTGATGGAAAAATAGCCCCAACTAGTTTAGTAATATTAACAAAGCCCCCTTCAGGTATAAAAAAATTATTGAAGAAGTATTTTATTTTAGCTTTTGGTTTTTCTTTCTTACCCAAACTTTTTTTTTTCATGGTATATATGCACCAAGATAATATTTTCATATAATTTCTTTTTCGAGCCTATAATTTTAACTCTAACATCGTAGGAACCACTGTCAGCATCCCGTCCCCACCTTTGTTACCATCAACATTAATCATAACAAGAAAATATTTTTAACCGAACAATAGCTTCCTCACATGACTTCAGCAATCATCGTTATCACTCCTACCACCGAAACTAAATCAATTTTTGATGAATTTGTTGTGAACATTAATCAAAATAATAGTGGACTTATGAATATAGTTTGGCCTTTGCAATGTTTAAATCCTGGTTCTGTCACTGTATTTGCTGATAACTGAAGTTTCATGTTTCTAGTAACCCATAACTGACTCTTGGTTGGCTGCAGTTACAAGAGATCATAACTGAATATGGTAAAACTACTTGTTGTTCTCCTTATTTGTAGGTTAATTGACCATCCTAGTGCCTTTGGTTTTTGAACAGAATGTCTACTTGGGAAGAGATGGACATAAACTGTGCTTTCTGAATAAGAGAATGTCAAATTTTATTATTGTGTACAACAAGAAATCAAATTTCATTATAGTGGATTGTCACTATTTTTCTTTCCCTGAAATAGAGGAAAAGGCTAGCAATTAATTTAATGATTACTAATAATACTTGAAAACCTACACACGGATATGCAATTTATTTAACTAATTCATTTATCTGCATTATCTTTTTCAAAAGAAGAAGAAGAACAGCTCATGTACATGTTGTTGTTATTTTAACTTCTCCTTGACTTGTGCATAATTAAGGACTCTTGCAGCAACACCACTTGTTACATCAATCAAGGCGGTTAAACGACTCCATATCTATGGTCCTGTCTACTTCAGATAAAAAATTACTCCAGCAACATTCAAGGAGAACATCCATATAAACAGATCACCATAGGCTAACATCAAGAAACTCCTTTGACACATTATTATTCAAGATTCAATAATTAAGGTCATGCCAGAATAAGTGGCCTGCCAACCGGACAAAATCCACGCGAATGCTTTTCAGAATATCGCCATACATATCCAATACATTGGCCTCTATATCTGAATCTCAAAACGAAAATACAAATGTAGTATAAAAAAAAAAGAAAAAAAAAAGGTAATCTATAGTATCTATCTATATCTATATAACTTAATAATAGAAAATCCAGAGAAAAAAAACTAAGATTGTTTTCTGAATCTCAAACTTTGTCACACGTTTTGAATCCCTAAAATCTCTAGAAATACCATCCTAAAGTTTCTCAATAATTTTTTTACACGTTTTGTATCCCTAAAATTTCTAAGATTTCCATCCTAAAGTTTATCAATAACAAAAAGCATGGGAAATGTTTGCATATATTTCCTACTCCCATGGCCATCTACTCTCCCGTCCCTATTCCTCCCATCTGTTGAATGGCCATCATCTATGACAAAGGTTAGCAATTTTGTTTTTGTGTAGTATTGTTTTATTGAAACAATTAATTTTTATTTATTAGTTTAAAAAGTTAATTAATTTAAGAATGGTAAAACTTGAATGGTCTGAGTTGTGATGATTTTTTATATATGAGTTCTTATTGATGCAAGCAGAGATTGAGGAAAACATAAAGGAAGCAATATCATAAACATCAAAATAGATAAAGAGAAGGCCTACAGGTGAAGAAATCGGTAACAAGAAATGAGACCCTTTCAAAAACTACGTCCCCCGATGAATCTCTCAATTTAGGGAATGAGGTTAATTTAAGTGGTGTCAATTTTGAGGAATTTCTCATATCAGTAATCTCTCCTTTGTTTATTCTTACTGGAATTGAAATAATATATTCAATAGGCTAGTGATATTGCCAGCACAATAATTAGCCTCCAGAGCAGAATATTGCTTTGTTACCTAATTTACCCCTATTAATTAAATCCCTAATTTCCTCACTTCCTCCTCTCATCTCCGCTCTGCAAATATCACAACTTCCAGTTTTTCTTTTCTATTTATCAGTATAACGAATTCTCTTCTCCTATTTCAATTCCTATTCTAATAATTATGGAAATTTCTCTCTTCTTCTAATGTTAATCTTCAATTTCAGAATCAGGGTTTTGCTCCATAAGTTCAAGCATTCCACTTAATTTTGAAACTAATTAGTTTACTTCGTCATTATTCATCCCTTTTCAGTTTTCATTTGGTTTCTTTATGAATGGTGATACGACTTTTACTATTTTTCGTTCTATTCTTTAATTTGGAATTTTTTTTCTAGCCATGCTTATGTGTGACAATGGTTGAATTTAGATGGGGACTTAGTCCGTATAGGACCACCAGTAGACGAACGGCCAGTCAGCGATGAGCTTCGTCCGATTGGAAAGGAAATCGGCGATGGCTTCATTACTATGCAGTTGATTCTGGAGGTGATGGAAAGAGTGAATTCTACACTTGGCCACAAAAAAAAAAAAAAAAAGATGTCATGTGATGAATTGTTTTGTGATAAACTGAAGACGCTTGTATTTTCTTTGAAGATGATTAAAAAAAAACTAACTGATTATTAGAACCAATTCCAAAATAAAATAAAATAAAATAAAATACCAGAAGTAAGACGTGCCTCAGTTACCCAACATTCTAATCTTCTCCAATTTCAGATCGAATGAAGGTATAAAGCCAAAGGAAGATACTAATTACAAAAACTATTCTTGATACTATTTGATGTACGGAGGGAGAAAAGGGAAAAAAAAAAGGAGCAGACGATATAGGTTAGAGCAGATGCTGGTTGGAGACTTTGAGTAATAAGGGCAAATTAGGTAATAGAGTCATATTTTGCTCTGGAAGCTAATTATTGCTCTGGCAATATCGCTAATCTAAATATTTTTTTTTTTTTAACGTTTAAATTTCTAAAATATTTATTGTTTCAGGGTTTCCAGGGTAAGCTTTTTTTTTTTTTTTTATTCTCCATGCACAAATGAAGAAAACTGGTTTTCTATACGACCAAAATTCGGCTAACAGAATATATCTATTTGCATATCAAAGAAGGCTTAGGAACATGACTAATGGAAAAAGAAAGAAGAAGTATTGTGCTATTGTAACACGACTTTCTAAAGGTTCTTTTTATTTATTATTTTTCAAGCTTCTGATATGCTTTTAAATTCTTGATTTTTTTCCTCAAATTTGTTTCGAATGTTTTCCTAAATCAGGTTGGTGGAAATAGACCAAATAAACGTTTTTTTTTTTTTGAAAATGAATTAAATAAATGTGGTTTCTTCCACAGTTTTCAGAGTGCATAGGAGAAAACAACAAAACTCATAATCACTCTCTTGGCCTATGTAAGAATGTGGTTTCCCTTTTTTTTGTGTGAATGCATCTTACAATATAATAACTAAACCCAACTTGAATAAAGTTGCATGAATTGTAAACCAATTTATTCACATGAATTATTTTGGGTAAAAACTAAATAAAAGAAAATTATTTAATAATTGGGAATACGTGTTTTCAGATATCAATATTAGATACATTATTAGTTTTAATATGTTTAGTCTTACCAAATAAAGATAAAGGTAAAGCGGAGTAGATTCGATCATTTGAATGACTAAGTTTAAGCTCGATGGCAATATGTTCAGTGAAAGAGTTTATTGTAATTTTTCGGTGGTGAAAAACCAGACAGAAAAATGATTTATAGTAAATTTATTAAACATCAATTTGGTATAATTTCGGTTTTGAAAAAGACCATGCATGATTTTTTTATATTTATTTTTTCCTTATGTTTTTATGTAGGTGTTGAACAGATCTTATGTTTTATATATTTTTTTTCAATTTGGTATAACTTTGGTTTTCAAAAAGATTGTGCATGATTTTTTATATTTATTGTTTCCTTATGTTTTTTTTGTAGGTGTTGAAAAAACCTTATGGTTTATATTTATTTTTTTCCCATTATATTTTTACTAAATAAAAAATTTAGATAGACATCATTTCGAGTTCGTACTAAAAGTATAAATTTTATAACTGGACATTCAATTCGAGATGGAGGGAGAAGGAATTTTATATGACTGCAGTTGAAGTTGAACATGAAAAAATACAAATATAAAGAGGAAAAAAAAACGAATCACATGCTGTGATATACAAAAATTATTTTCGAATGTCCACTTAATCGAGAAGTTTTTTGGAATTTGAGTATCTGATGATGATTTCTTTTTACTTTTGGAATTAGTAACATGTTTGTTTTTTCAATATCGTAGTGGTAACAATTACAAATACATACATCTCAACGGGCAAGACATCTATGTAAAAGATTTAAAATTATTATAATAATTATTATAATATTAACTAAGGCACCTCAACGGGTAGAACTAAGGTAACTCAATGGGTGGGGGCATTTGGTGAAAAGTTAAAAGACCAATCTAATAATTACTAAAGATGTAAAGAATATGGGTCGGACAAGTGATTAAATCACCTCAGCATGGACGTAACATTTAGCCCAAAAAAATTAATATTAATGTAACAATGACTGAGGCACCTGAACAGGTGGAGAGTAAATAGTTCATAAAATATAAAATATTGTTGAATTATTTGTATTAGTTCTAAATAATTCAACTTATAATATAAACTATTATTCAATAATTTAACACTACAAAGAAAATTATAAAATTATGTCTTACATATTAAAACTTTATCAATAAAACTAAATTAAGGATATTTAAAATTTTAATATTATTAGAAACATTTTACTTACATAAAATATAATTATAGTGTTGTTGTAATTGAAATTCCTAGGGATATTGTTATAAAAATTATGGTAATCCAATTATTACAATTGTTAATTCCATTTACTTTGATGTTTTATATAATTTGAATATCCAGATTACTTAAAATTTAAAACTTTTCTTGCTGCAACTCATGATAATGTCAATATCATAAATAAGCATCTGTTGGACAAGTTACCTAAAGTTGTGTACTTAAGCTCGAACATTATTTGTCCATTAGAAGGTTATGTGGATACTAATGACAAAATAACGTGTCATCGTGGCAAATGTTATCTTAGATAGTCATGTTGGAGAAGATGTATAAATTCTTTGCATGTCTCCGTGCCCTTGCAACATCAAGTTTCTATTCAGAATGAAAAGAAGATAATTTCTAGTGGTTATTTATTTCCCAATAACAATTAACAAAAGTAAGGGACAATCCTTTTCTTAAGTTTAATTTGATTGTATTTGCCACATTTAATTTTCAGTCATCATTAGTTATATATTGCTTTATTCAAATTAACAATAAAAAAAATTAAAAGTTTAAATATGTGAAGAAGACGAGAAAACGAGTAACAAGAGGACCTTTACGGTATAAAGAAGTACTGTATGATTTATAAACGTACAATTTATTTTTAATTGCGTCAAACTTTTATTTCCAATCTCGATAATTTATTTTCTCAACAAATTTTCTACCCCATCCATCCGACGGATTTAACATCTAGTTATACTAAAAGAGAAACCAGAGAGAGGAAATCAAACTTCTTCTCCAGTTGACACAAGGACAAAATCCTATGTGTCACTTTCCTATAGGTTGATACAAAAAATATTTACAACAATAATTCGGAAGATACATGTCCCTTGATTACCATCTTCAGTGCCAAACACCAACCCTTGATCCTCAATTGGACCATTCCAACCACAAGAAGTATCATGCTCTCTCTCTCTCCACTTCTAAGGCAGCGTAGTATGCCTCATAGAGCCTTGATTGCCTCCTTATCTTTGGGTCTAGCTTGTATAACAACACCCTTTATTGCTGTTTGACAACTACCAGCAATTTCAGAACTCATTGTTAATCAACAAAGTTGAAAAAACACCAAAAAGAAGTAATTGTGCTACACAAAGAACTCATTGGTACTACACAAAGAACTCCTTGAACCCTTGAACCAATAGATGGCTCGATCAAAACCCCCCAAGAACCAAAGGAAGGTTCGAATATTGCTCTCCCCAAAAACAAAAACCCTCTTGTGCTTTTAAGAACACTAACTCTCAAAAATTCAGAATAAAGAGAAGAGAAGAGTGCTTCTCTTGTTTTCACCCTTGTGATCTCGGCAGCAAGAAGAAGAAGAAGAATGGAGTAGAATGGTGTGAGAATTTTTGAAAAATAGCACCCCTATTTATAGGCAATGCAAGTCTTTTTGTGCAAGAAAATTCCTACAAGATAGGACCTAAATTTTCTCAAAAATATTCCCCCTTAATGGATAAAATTTAATCGAAATGATGGAATAAAAAGGAAGAAATGGCCACATATATATAGAAAAGGATAGAGTCATAAAACTTAGGTAATCATAATCCCTTTTGGACACAACTTATGAAAGATTCGTCCCTACTAATTAGAGATAAAAAATCCGACCCCCTACTACAAATAGGACTCAAAAATACGGCCAAACACAAGCACAATTGTATTAAAAGACTCAAAAATTTTCAGATTAGGATAAGACTTCCTTATCTCAATAGTTTTCGAAAATAGACTCACTTTAAAACTCTAATTATAATCTCACTGAAATTATAATTTAACTCATGCAACAATTAGTATTTAAATCCAAGTAGGACTCAAATAAAATACACAATAAAATTGTATTACCATTAGGAAACAATGGCTGAAAAAATTCGGCCAATGAGAACACCAAAATCCAAGACCGAATAGGTCTCAAATCATAACACACTTTGGACTCAATGACCTTAATTTTAGGGATACAACTTTCGGCCATGTGAACACACAAATATAAGACCGAATAGGACTTAAAGTGTAACACAAATAGACAACCAAAATTCAAGTTCAACTAGGACTAGGAAACCCTAATTTTTTAGCTCAAAATTTTCAGTTATACTATGACTCTAAAATTCAAAACCAACTAAGCTTAAAACTCCACATAAAACATTCGCACACACATGCATTATTTCAGCAAAAATTCGGCATTTAACTTTTTACCACATAGTTAAAATTTAAAAAATTACTTTTGACCCACTTTAAAAAGGAAACTTGGAAATTACCACTTTCTAAAATGTCCAACAACTTTTAGAATACTTTCTAAAAACCACTTTCCAAATTGTATATGGAATTAACAAAACTTCACTTTTTACCAAAACAATCTATGGCAAATAAAGTAACAAGAACACCATAAGTATAATGAAATTGGAATTTAAAGTTCCTCATTCAACTATGACGTTTGCTTCATAATATTCAATTTAATACAAACCATTCATAAGACTCAATGACTCAACAAAGCCATCTTCATAAGTGACCATTTGAAAATCAAATTTTCCAAAGACCAAATATGTAAACTTCAAGAACATATCTCAAAGCCTATAAGATTTCTTGTCATATATAAGAAAATCTTTAGTAAAACTTTACTCAATTCTCGATTCAACTCTCAAAAATTAAGGTTTAAAACACAAGTTAAAGACTTCAACCCTTAAGGAAAGCAAGGAAAAACATCTCTCTAAAACTTTTCTCTCCAACTTCTCTCTAAAAATCAAAACCCTACCACGGCAAACTTCATAGCCGCCGGCCTTGATGGCCGAAGACCGGCCGCTCCAAACAAAAGCTAATCAAGGCCTCAACCCAAATAGATCTGATGCTCAGATTACAAAAGGCCTCAAACCAAATCCCAGACTTCTTAGTTCGTCTATGGAAACCTTAGTTCCGTCAACCCCAACAATACTGTCTGAACCAACAGTCTACAAAGGGGAGCCGTCGTTTATCCTCTCCAAAGAAGAAGATGACAGGTTAGCAATTCCCTTTCGTCTGGCACTGGTCGAAAAATTTTCCAAGGGCAGACCGAGAATGAACTTTCTATGGAAAGAATTTCAAACAATCGGCTTCAAAGGTAATTTTTCCATCGGTATGATTGATTATCGTCATGTCTTAATATATTTTGAACTCGAAGAAGATTACCAAAGATGTTGGATGAAGGGTTGGTGGAATTTTGATAATCATGTGATGTGAGTACTGAAATGGACAACCAGTTTCAATCCAAATTTTGAATCCTCAATTGTGCTGGTTTGGGTTTCTTTTGAAGGTATGCCGGTGCACCGATTTAATGAAGAATATTTGCGCAAGTTAGTCGGCATAATTGGGAAACCTTTAAAAATTGATGTTCCCACTTTGAACATGTCAAGACCTTCGGTTGCAAGAGTGTGCATGGAAGTGGATCTTTTGAAAGACTTGCCGAAATGAATTCGTCTCAGAGTTGAAGGAATACATACTTCCAGGCGATTACGTATGAGAATCTTCCAGAGTATTGCACGGAATGCAGCAAAATTGGACACTCGGTGAAGAACTGTAAGCACACAAAAGAATGGAAAAGCAAGGTTGATGATTCCACAGAAACAGGGAATAAAAAACAGACAGCAAACTCAAAAAAATTGGTGGTAACAAGAGCTACTGAAAAGGTTCAAATCATGCCAAAGGAAGCACCAAAGCAGACAAAACATATATGGAAGGCTAAGACCTCGAACCGGCAGGAAGACGAGTTGGAGAAAACACAAGATCATCATGGTCCATCCACCTCCGGCTTATCCCATGAAGAAAAACAAAGTATCCCAGTTGATGTAATGGAGCGAAGTCCGTTGATCCACATTCAATCATCGGGGAAAAGAAAAATGACGAAGGAAAGGTTGGTATCAATTATACAAGAAAATGATAAAGAACCATCACTCTTGGATTCTTGGGACATTGTGGAGTTGAAAAATTTACAGGTGGATGAGCAAAAAGCAGAGAAACAGCAAGCTATTTCTTCACACACGCTGCCTCGCCACAGCGTGCTGTTTTTGATCAACAAATTGAAACGTCTTCTCGGTTTGAAGTCTTGACTGATTTGGACAATCCAATAAATGGGGACACGAAAGGAGATGATAAATTACAGGAGGACATTGATTCTGAGGTTGAAAGTGACGAAGGCATGAAAATGGAAAAATCTCATGAACAGCCTCCTTCTTTTACCCACGATCAGGTTTTGGTCTCTGTGGATGATTCGAAAATTGAAGGTAGTTCAGACCTCGTCCATATTGAGGAAGCTTTCGTTTCTGTTATGGATGGAGAACAAAGGAAGAAAAAACATGGACATCCAAAAGGATCCAAAAATGGGGTAAACAATAATGGGAACGAAGGTGAAACTCGACGTTCGGTGAGACTCCAAGGTGACATTCTTCCCAATGTTTAAAATGATAAATCAATTAATATGGAATGTAAGAGGTATAGGAAACAAGGCATCACAACGTAGACTGAAAAATTTAAAATCTATGCATTCTATTTCTTTTATTGTTCTTCTTGAGCCTATGTTGCAGGTGAATAAATTGGAGGAATTGAAGCAAAGTTTACACTTTGACAAAGCAATTTCTTCAATCACAGGAAAAATTTGGATCTTTTGGACTAATGATTTTGATGTTACGCTGCTGGGAGATTCTGAGCAAGCCTTGCATCTTGATGTTAAACATTTGCAATCATCGACGCAATTCCTCATCATTGCGGTCTATGCAAAATCTACAAGAAAAGGACGAAATGAGCTATGGAAAGAGCTTACACAATTTCGGAATCAACACTTAGGAGATCCTTGGATGATGGGTAGTGACTTCAATGTCATTCATAATCTTGATGAATACTCTGGAAATTCTCAGCCAGATCAAGCCGCTATTGAAGATTTCAATCAATGGATAAATTTTTGTGACTTAACAGAGATTCAAACAATTGGAAGTGATTATACTTGGGTGGGAAATCGTCAAAATGGCTGGGTGTTAAAAAAATTGGATAGAATCTTGTACACAGAGGAATGGCTTTCACTCTTTCCAATTTCCACGGTGCAGCATCTCAATAGGGCGTCCTCAGATCACTCCCCTTTGCTTCATCAATTTAATCACACCATGGAATCAAGGCCAAGGCTCTTTCGGTTTCAGAAAATGTGGCTTCGGAGGCAATCTTTTCTAAGCATGGTGAAACAGAATTGGGATCAACCGGTACAAGGCTACGGTATGTATGCTTTTTCGGCAAAATTGCGGCGGTTAAAGGCTCATATGAAGGAATAGAATAAGCTGGAATTTGGTGATGTATTTGAAAATTTACGGGCAGCGGAAGCTGAGGTCCAACTAAAAGAGGAAATATATGATGCTTCAGGTTCAACAATTGACCGAATTTCTCTTAATAAAGCTCAAGCAGATTTATTCCACAAGCTTCGGGAGCATGATGATTTCTTGAGACAAAAAGCAAAGCTGAAATGGATGAAGGAGGGGGGGACGCAAATACGGCTTTCTTTCACGCTTAGTTGATGGGGAAAAGGGCGAGACTAGGCATTCATAAAATTAAAGGACGCAATGGCAATTGGCTTTCAGATAGACAAGAGATCGAAAATGAAGCAGTCCATTTTTTTCAAACGCTTCTTACGAAGGAGCCAGAAAATGATCAAGAAGAAGCTACATCAAAAATGCAAAATTGCATTCCTAATACTATCACCTCGGAAGAAAATGGATCTTTAATGCAACCAATTACGATGGAGGAAATGAAGAATGCGGTTTTTAGTTTGGATCCATGTAGTGCCCCGGGAATTGATGGCTTTGGAGGTGAATTTTATTGGCATTGTTGGAATATAATAAGTTCTGATTTGTTGTTAGCTTGTTAGGAGTTTATGGCAGGGGTTCCTATTCCTCGAGCGATTGCAAGCACAGCTATCACTTTGATCCCCAAAAAGGCTTCAAGGATATCTTTTGCAGACTTTCGGCCAATAAGTCTTTGCAACTTTGTTAATAAAGTTTTTACAAAGATTTCGATTGAAAGGCTTAAGAAGATATTGCCTCGTATAATATCTGAGGAGCAGTCAGCTATTTTACAAGGCAGAGATATAATAGATACCGTTCTCTTAACACAAAATCTCTGTCAATTCCTGAATAACAAAACAAGAGGGGGGAATTTGATTCTCAAGCTTGATATGATGAAGGCGTTCGATCGCGTTTCATGGAGATTCCTGCGAATGGTTATGGAGAAATTCGGATTTTGTGATAGATTTGTATCACTGATAATGAATAATCTTAGGGATAGTTGGTTCTCGATCTTACTGAATGGAAGTCCAGCAGGGTTCTTTAAAGCTTCAAGAGGTATAAAACAAGGAGACCCTCTTTCTCTATACCTCTTCATTTTGGTATCGGAAGCATTGACTAGACGGCTTAACGCGCTAATGGAAAGTGGTCGCATTGCAGCTTATAGCATTCCATCCAGATCCTTTGAGGTGTCACATCTGTGTTTTGCCGATGATCTAATCATTTTCACGAAGGGTCTCAAAAAATCAATGGAACAATTGAACATCTATTTCCAAGAATATGAAGAAGCCTCAGGTCAGAAAATCAACAAGCAAAAGTAGTTTTTTTTTCTAGCTTCAGAAAAGAGCTCTCCACAGCATATTGATATGGTTAATGGAGTTCTTCGAATGCCGAGAGGGCAATTTCCTTTTGCATACTTGGGCTGCCATCTCTTTCAAGAAGATGTTGCACATAAGCATTGGAAAGCTTGGGGAAAACTCACCTTCCCCACATCTGAAAATGGACTCGGATTGCGGAAATTTCAAGATAATGTTGAAATTTTCTCGCTTAAGCTTTGGTGGAAATGGAAATGTAACAAAGTCATTTGGGTGAGATTTGTAAAGTCTGTATCAAATACTTCAAGACAAAAGACAAGCTGGAGCAGGGTTCTAAAGGTTCATCATTTCACGAAGGAGAAGTCAAAAATTTTGCTTGGAAAAGGGGAGGTTTCTTTTTGGTATGATGGATGGCTAAATCAAGGGCCTCTATGGTCCCTGAATTGGCTAAGTGACCCGCCATTCAAGGACTTGCAGGTTAAAGAATTTTTCCTTAACAAAATTTTTTATCTGCAAGTACTCAATGATTTTTTGCAGCCACAGGTTTTGCAAATTTTGGAAGGAATAGATAATAATTTTTCTCAGGAGGAGGATCGACACATATGGAAGCCATCAGTGGTGGGGGACTTCACCCTAGCAACAACTTACATGGAAATCAGGGAGAGGAAAACTGAAATCCCCATTTTGAAATGTTTTTGGAATAAATTAATCCCCATAAAAATTTCTTTCTTTTTGTGGAGGTTGTTTAACCAACTTGTTGCTTTTCCAGAAGTTTTACAGAAGATGGGATTTACTTCTCACCCAACTAGATGCCCAATGTGCCTTCAAGCGGAGGAAAGTATACAACATGTTTTTTATGAATGCCCACAAGTGAGAAAGGTTTGGAACTATTTCTTGGCCCTGTATGGAATTTTTTTACCCTTTAGTGCAGGTTTATGGAGCTTTATGCAAGCATGGTTTTCAATTGCGAACTTCTCATTAGCCAAAAAAGCAGTTATCATGATCACTCTAGCTTTCATTCTATGGGAAATTTGGAAAACACGAAATAAGTGTTTTTTTGAAGGTACTTTGTTTTCTTTTGACTCAATAACTCATGGAATTTGTACTATCGTTTCAATGATTTTGAGTATTCATGAGTTACGAGCAAGAACCCAGGCTGAGGTACATGAGCTAGAGGTAATTTTTCAAGTTAAAGTCAGAGGAATGAAGGAGAAAAATGTCACTTCACTATGTTGGATACCACCGAAATCTGGAGAGATCATTATTAACACTGATGGGTCAGCATTAGGAAGTCCAGGAGAATCGGGATGGGTTTTTTTGGCTAGATGAGAACGAGGCATTTTCATCAAAGCAATAAGCAAACATATGGGAGAATCTACCAGCCTCTCAGCAGAAATAGAGGGTATTCTACAAGGACTGATATGGGCAGAAAGAGAAGGATATCATAAGGTAAAGATTCAAATGGATAGCAAATTAGTCGTTCAATTGCTACACAAGGGCAAGGAATTTCCCTGGAAGCACCATAGATCATTGCAGCAGATACAAAGTATTTTACAACGCACTGGGTTTCAAGTGCATCATATATTCAGAGAGATCAATGTTTTAGTAGATGGCCTATCAAAGCAAGCATCAAGAGGACAATCAATAGAGCATGACAGTGTAGCCATCCTTCCTAGCTCCTTGCGAAGTATTTTATACTTGGATCAAAGGTCTTTCCCATATATTCGTGTTAGGTAGCTAGGTTAGATTAGTGAGCTGTCATGGGATCTTTAGAAGATCTTTGTGAGACAGTCTCGTAGTTTAATTGATTGGAACTAGGAAAATGCTGTGGGATTCTTGTATGATCTTTGTAAAGCAGTTTCTAGGAATTCTTCATTAGTCCATAAAAATAGAAATGTTAAGAGTTTTTTAGGGAACTCATTGTAAGACAGTTCTTAGCTTAATTCAATTAGAAACCGTCATGGGATTTTTAGAAAATTTTTGTAAGACGGTTTCCTCAATTTGGGTAAGGCTTAAGCACTTCCTATGTACTTCTTCCTTCTAATTAATAAAATCGGGGGGATGCCCGCCAGGTACCGCCCTAGTTCTCTTAAAAAAAAAATCAATTCTTAATTAAAGTATATCAATTAATTGTATGGTAAACTTTCTATTTTGCATTCCCTAAAATGAAAAGAAACGGAAAATTTTAAAATCTCAACATTAAATAAGATTGATTTGATAAAGATTATCCGATTGGCTTGAATAATGGCATTACGTCTTGATTTGATCATTAAACAATACAATGATTATTTGAAATTCAAAAATAATAAATACAAAATCATCAGTGATTCTTTAATTCTACATTATAGCTGATTGATTCGAAAAGATTTTTTGATTGGCTTGAATATTGCCAGTACATATTAGTTTGATCATTAAACAATATTAATGTTTTTTTGAAATTCAAAATAATAAATATAAAATCATCAGTAATTCTTTAATTCAATATTAAAGCTGATTGATTTTAAAAGATTTTATGATTGGCTTGAATAATGACATTACATATTGGTTTGATCATTAAACAAAATTATTTTTTTTGAAATTCAAAAATAATTATTGAAATTGTGGATAATATTTTTTTAGAGACACATAATTGCATACACGGAAATCCATTCACTTTATTTTAACAAAATCAAATATAAACATATGCCTAAAATTATTCTAATCGCATTAATCAACTGACTAAATTATTATGTATATATAAAGTGTGCTTATAAAACTCAACTGGCTTGCAATCCAAGTTTACACCGGAATCTTTTCGTCTTCCTCTCTCTCTCTCTCTCTCTCTCTCTCTCTCTCTCTCTCTCTCTCTCTCTCTCTCTGTTAAGGAATTATGTTTTTCTTTTTAATAATCATTATATTTTGTGTCAAGAATTTTTCGCTTCTAACTTTTGCAAGCTGTGGGTAAATATTTTTTTGCAGCAAGGATTTTCGAATGCACATCTATGATGAATTTCTTTGCCAAAGTTAATTAATGATTTCAATGTTCGATGTTTTTTTAGAGACAACATGGCGAAATATATGATGGTGATTCGCGAAAATGAAATTAGAGGGCACAGTGATAGGTAGACCCATTTAACTGTCATGTATTAATATGAAACCTTTGCTTCAATTTCTTTTTTTTAAAAATAATTTACCTTATGGTGTAATTTATTTCTTTAGAGGATCTTAGACAAATGAATTAGAGAAGGCAGGGAGGTTCTGGAGATCAGTTGTCAGGGGTGTGACCTATGGTGCTGTTGCTGAAACGTGGCCATATTTTCCAATAAGGCTCAAGCATCTGAAGGTGACTTTGAAGTCTGAATCATCTCATTACGTTCTAATGCTTTGTTTGGGATGGTACAATATCATAAGTAACAGAATGGTCAAAAATATCAAATTGTAAATACAAAATATATTTGACATGTATATCAATATACGGATCCCTTTATTTTCTTCTACAAATAAGTAGCGTATATAAATTACTTTGAATGTAACATTATTTAATTGAGTTTTTCTAAATTGCAATACAAAATATTTCTCTTATTTTTATTATGTTCAATCTTATACATAATTTATCTATCCCGCACATCGTGCGGGTACCATCTAGTCTACCTAAAAGATACAATGATGTAATGATTCCATAATTAAACTAATAAAACTCAC